TTTTTAATGGTGAACACCTCTCCTCTAAGATGGGAGGACAAACTATGACATCTACTCTTCATGTCTTCTCAAGTGTGCCAGAGTGTGTATAGATTGGTTAGAGGTGTAGAAGGTAAGTATCATCATAAGATATAACAGTTGGTTTCTGTTTGGTTTTTCTTTTTTATAGACAGGGTCTCACCATGTAATTAAGGCTGGCCTTGAACTCCATATACATCCAAGCCTGGCCTCAAACTACCAAACCTGCTGCCTCTGCCTCCTGATCACCTTCTGGGATCACAGGTGTGTGGTACCATTCCTAGCTCAGACAAAGATGGCATGTAAATCATCATCATCATCATTATCATCATCATCATCAATTGTGTATATGCTCATGAGTGTGTATGTATATGCAGATGCTTCTATTATGGGATCATCAACTATCAAGCACTTTTTCCCTCACTGGCTCTCGGTGTCCATTTATATGCATAAATTTCTTTGAGTTCTTTAAGAGAAACTACTAGGATTGATGAACAATACTTGTGATGTGTAATCTAGACTTGTATGAAAATTCCATTTTTTTTCCTCTGTAATGACTTCAGACCGTCTCAAAGAAAAAGTGGCAAAACTATTCCATTCCAAGTCATTCAAAGCTATTAAAGTATTAGGAACACATCAGACAGAAGTGCTCATGACAAACAGATACAACACTTAAGCCTGTTGCTGAGAGACTTGAGGGTGTATCTATCTGTACATATGGGGAAAATCTCACTCATGGATCAGAACACCCAACGTTCAAACATGGCATTTTCATTAATAAGATCTGTAAATTCAAACATAATCACTTAAAAATTCTAGCATGATTTTTAATAGCAACTGAGAAGCTGATCCTAGAATTTGTGAAGAAACACAGAGGATTTAGAATATTGCAAATCATATGGAAAATGAAGGAAAAAGTCTGGGTGGTTCAGATCATCCAACTTCAAAGTTTACTGTTATGAAGCTACAAAATCAAGGCCATGTAATATTGTCTAAAGTACAGACTTATTGTATTAATATATACAATCCAATAGAATAGACATAGACCCTAAAATTTGTGATCAATTAATATTTTAACAATATTTTCAACAAATGGTATCAGTTGTTCATCTAACTTCACAGAAAGAACATAGGCCTATGCCATACACCACACTAAATATTAGCTCAAAATAGATCTACGACAGAGCTAGAACTATATACTCTTCCAGAAGGAAATATTGCAGACAACTTGGAATTAGCATAATCAGACATACCTACATATGGCATCCAAAGAACAAACCATTAAAGACTCACTAATTAGAATTCTACCACAATTTAAAATTTTGATATTGAGAAGATATCACTGAGAAAATAGGAGTTATATATTCTGAAAGCATTTACCTGAGAAGAATCATATCTAGAATGAAGGCCACTATAACTCAATGGTAAGGAGGCAATTTAATTTTCAAAGAGGGACAAATTTAATAAGTGTTTCATCAAGAAGACTAATGAATGACTGATAAATATGTGATTACATGGACAGCATTATAAACCAATGGGGGAAACGCTAATTAAATGGTGATGTCATCATATGCAATGCTATTAGCATGACTATAATAAAAGTTGATAATTCTAAGTTTTGAGAACATAGAGTAATTGGAATACTTCTGCAGTGCTAGGAGCTGTGTGAAGTGGTTTAGTCACGTAGCAAAAAACAATCTATTAACTTCGTGAGACTAAACATATATCATACAAGTAGATAATATCATTACTATGTGTCTGACCAAGTAAATGAAAATGTATTTCTACAAGAAGTTCTACACAATGATATTCAGAAATAATCAAATGACCATTAACTACCAAATAGATCAAGAAAGATAAGAGGGAGCTCCACTGTAGGGTACAACTGAGAATAACAATGAAGAGATTCTTTATATTCAGGGCTACTTTTGGGGATCCCAAGTGCATTACCATAAGCAGAAGCCATAGGAAAAGTCTCTGTCCGTAGTGCATGACTCCATGTGTCTGACACGCCTAGCAAAGAAACAGCTTTAAAGATGGAAGCCATTGGGGACAGCCAGGTCAAAAGTTGGTGGCAAGGAGGGCCAACTGCCTTTGGATTCAGGAACTTTTTGTATTGATGGAGGTATTCTAAAACCGGAGCATGACTGTTGTGCAATTGTACGAATTTGCAAAAAATATATCAAACTGTACACTTACCACAAAGAGATTTTAGTTATTTTTTAAAGATGCAAAAAAATGTTGCATTCCTCAGTAAGTTTATAATGTTTAGATTAAAGTAGCCAGTTTTACTTTTAATTGTTGGTACTAACAAAATAGATTTGAAGGTAATGACTGAAAAATAGAAATATTTTTTGTAATTGGCCAAGTCAAGCAACTTCGTTGGAACAAAATAAAGACAACTTTGGATGATCTTGTTAGTTGTTTTACAGTTTCTTTCACCTGAAATACCCAGAGTTTCCCTGGGAATTTAAATAAAAGCATTTAGTTTTCTTTTTTGAATACGGCATTATCTAATGTCAAAGCATAATTTGGTAATAAAATACACCTTCTGGAAGCATCTACAAAGTTTTTTCTGCTAATAACTATAATTATTTTGAAATTATCACTGGCAAAATAATTCTATTTATTTCTACTCATCAATAATTAAATTTCAAATGAAATAAGAGCCTCATTGTAAGTGGCCAGCTAATGTCTTAGTCTGGCTGTATTATGTGTCTTAAAAGTTCAGTATTTTGCAGGAAAAGAAGCTCCATTTATGAAAAGAGGATTTTTGTTTTGCTAGGCAGGAAATGTACCAATTAGTTAGAAATGACCACAGAAATTCCTGATTGAAAAAGGCATGAAGTAGACAAGTCCTGCAGAAGATAAAAAGAGAGATTACTAAACATTTCGATTTCCTAGCAGGAAGGAGGAGATTAATCCTAGCATGCTAACCAGCTGTCTTCCAGCATTAAACCAGGAATGGGCAATCAGTCTTTGAAGGACCTTGTCTATCTTTGAGGATAGGTGTGTATAAATGGGGAGCGCCGGCAGAAGGTGTCATTCTATAGGAATTTTGTCACCAAGGGATACAATAAAAGAGTGATGGTGGCTGCTGGTGACCATTCTTCCAGCATCATTCCCTTGCTGGAGTTCCTTGACTCCACATTCTTCTCTTAGGCTGACAGCTCTCTGATTTTTCTTACCACCTCTGCCTCACCACCACCACCACCACCACCACCACCACCACCACCACCACCTGCTAAGCTACATTCCTTTGTTCTCTTTGAACTTCTATTACACTTTATGCATTGGGGCAGAAACAACTAACCATGGTCATTCATAATAACGGGAAATCTTGTTCACCCAGAGAGTGGATCTCATACGCATACGTTTTCCTTAGTTGGGTTTTCCATATGAATTTCGTTTATCACCTTCTTCAGACAGATCCCTCCTGTGCTGTTAGCAGATGCTGGTGTGAAGCTGTGCATGGTGAGGTTCAACACCTCCATCCTCCACCCTTTTCCCAGCAATCATCACCCCCATCTCAGGGGTGGAACTGGTCACAACTTGGTGTATGGATGAGAAGACTTGGAGAACAAGCCTTTTCATGATTTCTTGATGTCCTTAAACTTATTAGACTCATCACTAAATTCAGCCCAATAGAACTAGGTCAAACAGGCGACATTTCCTGGGTGTAGCTTTGTGTTGTAACTGGCCCTGCTTCCTCTGCATTTTGGGATTAGGTGGTAGTGATCTGCGTTGGTGAGAATCAGATGCTCTGGAATCTTAAAGGAGCTCAATTTGTTAAAGCAAAATTCTGTCCTATACAAACTCAGCTCACTTTGACAAAATGTTATCAATGCCTTCTCTCCTTGGGCAAGTGGCAGCAGTGGTAACACAGACTTCCTGTGTAATGTCTAATACAAAACGAGCCTCTTTGATGGGGCAGACACCCTTCTTTGTCCACAGTTTACACCCACGCTGTGGATGAGTGATTCAGGGCAGACCCAGGAACACAAAGCCCTCAAACAATGCTACTGACAACCCCCTCCACAGATCAATAGCAGTTTATAATTAACCCGACATTTTTATTAACCAGTCTTAAACGTCAAAGCCGCAAAGCAGAAGGCGGCGTTAATAATGTTACCTACAGGAAATGAGATCTGAGATCCGAGTCTAGTACCAATTCAAAATTGTAATCACCTTATTCCGACATCTGGGAAGAGAAATTTTGCTGGGACTCTTACTTCCCAAAATTCCGGAGACCTTCCCTTCTCTAGGAGGTGGGGATGGATGGGAGAGCCCCAGAAGCTTTATTGTACTGAGACAATCACAGGTAGCCTAGGCTGACTTCAAACTTGCTGTGCAGTTCAGGATGACCTTGAACTTCAGAACTTTCTGCTTCTGTCTTCCCAATAGTGAGACTATATACAGATGGTAGGATTGCGAGAGGAACTGCACCATCATGCCGGGATTATGCCCAACTGGGATGAAACCCAGGACTTCCTGAAGGTTAGGCAAGCGCTTCACCCATTCGGCAATATCCCAAGTCCAACTCCCAGATTTTTAATTGGGGGAACTTTTTTCTACAAGTTCTGGATTACATTCCCTCTCTCCTTCCCCACGCTTTCCTGTCCCATGATTTCGTCTCCACTCCCTGCCATTTCTTTGATGGGTTGTTTTGTTTTGTTTTTAAACAATTTCACTGGATTCGCACCAATTTGGAATCTCACTGTGTTCCTCCAAAGAGGCAAGTCCTGGGCAGATGCCCACGTGGTTCATTTCTGGATTCCCGAGCCCCGCCTGCGCTGCTTGCTCTACAAGTAGCCCTGCCCGAAAGAAAACTCCTTACAGAAGTTTCCTCCTTGCCTGCAGCAGAGCTGGGCTTTGGGTGCAAGGATCTCCCAAGTGGAGCCCCAGTGCAGGTCCCAAGCTTGGCTCCAATTTACAGTGCCCTGTCACCAGGTGCCGCCTTGTGGGGAGCAGCTGCACCAGCTGGCGTCCAGGTGGAGTCAATGAAGTGCAGCCTGAGGAGAATGCTGCGCCCAGAGGAGAGGAAGGAGATCCAGGGCGTTGCCTATTGCGGCGTGAAGGAAGACACGGACTGCTTTAAAGACTCCTTTAAGGTACTGGGAAATCAGTCGGCGGCCTGGAGCATGCTAGGACCCTGTGGGAGGTGGGAGGCTGGGGCTTTCCTTGCCAGGAGTATTTTGATTCATTGGCTATACAAGTTCAGGAAGCAGTGAGTGTGGACAGCGCAGGAGACCAGTGTATCAGGGTACTGAGCTCTATGGTAAGTGATGCTTAAGTTTGTGGACCCTGGGGTCACACTAGGAAAGCGCCAGTCACCATGCTGCCAGATGGTCCTTTGTTTTGCTTACCTGTTTGTTTAACCCCATCTTGCCAGGAGATGGATTGATGCCAGAGATGTTTCCCCGAAATACTTTTGATATATAACAGAATTAGAATCCCGGGACGGCATGAAGCCAGAACAAATGTGGAGGGTGTTCCCTTCCACTTGGACGTTTAAGTGGAGTTTTCCTTTGAACTGAGGTGGATGCTACAGCTGAGGATGTGGTAGTCAGACAGAGATCCAACAAGTGTCTGGGGGTGGAGAAGCAATTTTGTCTAAAAGTGGAACAAAGAACTCAGCGCTTGCAAAGGGTACCTGATGAGGACAAATGGAAGCAAGACCAGCAGTGGGTGTGTCTGGGTTCTCCTCAGAGGGAGACCTAGTGATTACCTGAGAATAGCTGTGATGGGGGCTCCAAAGAGATCTCACTGGATGCTCTGACTTACAAGAAAGTCGCACACACGACCAAGCTGATGCTGAAGCCGCCACTCTGCACTGGCTGTCAGCTGCCCAGAAAACCTATTAGATATCCATAGCTTGATAGCAAGAAAGGGAGGGGTTCTTTTGAAATGTCAAGATATTAACTGTGGTTTTTCAGCACCCATTGAGAATTCCTCTCCACTGTGGAACCATGTTGATAGTTCCTTATGCATTATTCAGGGGAAAACAAAATGCTTGTGCAAACACAAACTTTCACAGAGTTTTCTTTAGCTTACAAAGGTATGAGCTCACAGAGACTGGACTTTAATTCACACATTAAGTAAATTTTAGAATACTTTTCAATTCAGTACTTAGAAAGTTGCTTTTTTTTAAAAAAAATAAATAACTGCTTTACAACATTCCATTGTGGGGGGATCACATCATGTTTTATTTAACTACTTATATACTGATACATACTTTGGTTATTTTGTTTGTTTTGCCGTTTTACTTAGCTTTGATTTTTTTAAAAAATCTATGACTGTAAATGTGGTTTCGCAATCTGTATATTTGTCCATTGGCAGTTTTGCCCTAACAGAGGCAAGAGTGTCAAAACAGATTTAGTTTCGGTAGACATTGCCTGACCGGCATCTAAGATGCTATTCCTGCCAAGTCAGAGGCGTCCTACCTCACAGAAACTTATACTTAAGGCCTCCAGATTGAACACTGCTCCCCATCCCATGTAAACTTAGCATGTAAACCAAGGCCTTTTGCTTTAGTAGGAGGAACCACATCATGGGTGAATTTCAGTACTAAGATGCTATCATTACAATTAATGTGGGGCAGAAAAGAATTTTAAGATTTCAAAATATCCTCTTTGTATTCAGTTTTCTAGAGATCTGTAGAGGAATTTCTGCCATCTAGTCCCAATATTTTCTTTATGTTTTTATTTTAGTATCTTTAGGTTTATTGACTGGCTCAATGGATTAACAGAAGCTAATGCTTTTTTTTCCTCTTATTTTACAGTCCAACCACAGTTCCCCCTCCCCCTCCTCCTCCATCCCACCCTCCATCCACTCCTCCCAATGGGTAAGGGCTCCCATGGGGAGACTCTGGAACACTAAGTCTGGCCAGGACCAAGGCTCTCCCCCACCCTCCTGCATTAAGGCTGAGCATGGCATCTCACCATAGGGAATGGCCTCCAACAAGCTACCAGGGGCTTTAAAAAATAGTTTGGCATTTAACCACGATTTAGCTATATATAGTTTCTCCCTTTAGTTTTCTTCCCCTTTTGATTTATTTTGATTAGATATATTTCATTCAAACAGACTAAAACAGATGGACCTGAAGTCTCTAATTTGAAGGGCTTGACTTAGAACTGATTTCTGTAAAAATAATCTAGTGCCTAGTGTTGTGAATATAATCATAGAGATCGGAATTCAAGAGCCTAAGAGCTTAGGGGGTACTCAGAACTGGAAACTATTCTAGATTAATTATTATATGTAATCCACCAGAGGCTTAAATATATAAACTAGGAAGAAATAATGAAACCACACGGCAGTTCTGGGATAACACTGAGATTAAAACGATTTCTTAGTGTGCTTTCCAGATTTGAAAATATGCATAATTTTTTTCAAAGATATCTCTTAATAAATAAATATCCTGTTACAAAAAGCAAAAACAAAATGTACTACAAGTCAGTAGCATTAAACGGTTTTATTTTATATAATAATTTATCTATAAGTATCTCAGGTCTGTCTTAAGAACTTGCTTAAGAAATTTCCTGATGATAGTTTAAGTTCTGAACAGAGAGGGCTTAGAACACTTCATGAGTTCCTGTGACATGTTTGTAGACTGCTTTGTCACTGTGAACTCAATAGTATCTTTCAAACCTCTGAAGCTAGTCCTTTCTCTAAAGAGTGTGGAGTGTTTATGTCCATTACCAACCACACAACAGACTTAGAAATTGCTCTTTTCAGCACTGGCGATGGGCAATAGTACCCCATATTAGCATTCAAAGAAATCGAATTCAAGCACTAAAATGCTTTCCAATTGATTTAGGTGAGCAACTTCTTTGAGAAGGCAAGGCGTTAAGAGGAGGCGGCTCCATTTCGTCAGGAACCTCAGTTTAATTATTGATTATGTGTAAATCTGAGAAGGGCTGGATGTCTTTAGACTATCCTATAGTCACTAAGAGCACATGGAATTGGTTTTTAGTTGGAAAGTGCCACATTTTTGTTCAAGATACTGCCAACACAAATTGTTCTTGTTCTTTATTTTTTTAAGTTCTATTATATGACTAGAAGAATAAGATCCAAAGTGGGAAATGTAGATATTTTAGGTTCTTCAGTCCTCACATTTAGTGAATTAATCTTAACATGCCAAATCCATGACTGCTCTATTTCATAATTTTTCATTGCAATAGTGAAGTGTTGCAGTTTTATTTAAAATTACAAATTATCTTTTGAACAGCTATCTTATGAGGCAAAGGGGACCAGTCATAGTCACAGGGAGAATTCAAAGCAACTTTCTTGATCTTCTGTTTGGGCACTGTTTCTGTGGTTTGAGAAACATTTATCAAGCTATCTTGGTTCTCTGCAAAGCTGTTGCCTTGTGGTTCATTTGGGTCTTTGTAAAGAAGTAGCTATTGAGAGAGAGCTTCGGAAACAACTTAGGGTGGTTTTCCTTCTCTCATATTTTACACCACAGCCTCAGTTTCCCTCCTTGCACTCTGCCCAGTCCTTCCCCCACCTCTCCACTTCCCCAGATCCGCTCCTCCTCCTTTCCCTTTCAGAAAAGAGCAGTGCTCCCAGGACATCGACTGAACATGGCATAGCAAGTTATAATATGACTGGGCACAAACCCTCATATCAAGGCTGGACGAGGCAACCCAGTAGGAGGAAAAGGGTCCCAAGAGCAGCAAAAGAAGGCAAATGTTTTTACTTGGCAGGGTGATTGTAAATCATTTGAATCTTGGTGTTGCCCCAGAACTACAATGGACTTCTGTGAATTCTTCCTATTTTTTTTTTTTTGCATTTAACCCTCTATGAAACTAAAACTCACCAAATAACCCAATGTGCACAAAAGTCTGTATAGAGGTGAGGTGTAGCCCCTAGAAAACTTGCCTCGCACGGATGTGGACGTGGGTTTGCATCTGAGCCTTGAATAGACTTAGGTGGTTGTACAAGCCTGCAATGCACTCAAGAATTAGGAAGAGGACAATCAGAAGTCCAAGGTCAGCCTCAGTTATATAGCAAGTTTGAGGCCAAACTTGTCTTACATGTGACCCTGTCTTAAAAAGCAAGCAAAAGTCTTTATGTCCCTCTATGTTCTTTGTGAAGACTGCTTTCTTCCTCCATTCCTCTCTGAAAAAGAAAATTATGCATATGACTATCACGGAAAACAAAGCATACAAATGTGTAGCAAACACTGCACATGGTGAACAAAATAAAAGAGGAGGAAAGAATAAGAGTGCTTCCCAAACCTTTGTCTTAGAAGTCGTTTGAGTTTGAACACTGTCTAGGAGAGAGCCTGGTTGTGTGAGCTACAGCTACTGTGTATTAGAAAGTGGACACAACCTAAAAACAGACCAGGTGGGGTGGCTCACACTTATAGTCTGAATGCTGTGTAGAAGGGGGTCAGGGATTTTAGGTCTTTTTCAGTGACACAGCAGGTTCAAAGCCAGCCTCAAGGAAGGAAGGAGGGTGTCACCATTCACTTGCAAATACATCAGTTCAGTCAGATGGCAATACACAGACTAATAGAAATGGGTTAAATTAAAATGTAAGGATTAGCCAATAAGAAGTTAGAGCTAATGGGCCGGGCAGTGTTTAAATGAAAAAAAAAAAAGTAATTCTAGATGCAACTTTGAATGGAAATCTTGTTCAAACAATCGGGGAAAAGTTAAATATTTCTGTAATTATTGATTTTTAAAGTTCTCTGCTTTCTGTGTCAGGCAGATGTTTACAAATTTCAAGAAGCCAAATAAGACAACTGCTTGTTGTCATTATGCATATTAAGTGGAAATTCTTGAATTTTGGCAGAAATTACTTGTGCTCAGGAGTAGGGTAGCAGTTTTAGATCCCTGAACAAGTCCTTAGGATGCCTTGGGATGATCTTAGCTTCAGAGTGTAAGGAGAGGTTTGGTGCAGACTGACTGCAAGTAGGAGAAGCCAAAAAAGATAAAATACTTTAGATTCCTAGACTTAATAACCCTCACATTCATAGACACCCCTTCTTATTACTTTAGTCAGGGTCTATTAAATACAAAATAAGAACTTTCAGATACCATTTCCACATTGCTTTACTATACTATGATCATTTTCAGCCCTGCCAGTTCTTTTTTTTTAATTGATTTTTATTGAGCTCTACATTTTTCTCTGCTTCCCTCCCTGCCTCTATCCTCCCATTCAACCCTCCCCCAAAGTCCCTATGCTCCCAAGTTACTCAGGAGATCTTGTCTTTTTCTACTTCCCTTGTAGATTAGATCTATGTATGTCTCTCTTAGTGTCCTCATTGTTGTCTAAGTTCTCTGGGATTGTGATTTGTAGGCTGGTTTTCTTTGCTTTATGTTTAAAAACCACTTATAAGTGAATACATGTGATAATAGTTCAATTAAAAAAATGGAATACAGACCTAAACAGAGAACTCTCAACAGAGAAATCTAAAATGGCTGAAAGACACTTTAGGAAATGTTCAACATCACTAGTCATCAGAGAAATGCAAATCAAAACAACTCTGAGATTCCATCTTACATCTGTAAGAATGGCCCAGATCAAAAACACTGATGACAACTTAATGCTGGAGAGGATGTGTGGCAAAGGGAACACTTCTGCACTGTTGGTGGGAATGCAAACTGGTATAGCCCCTTTGGATGTCAGTGTGACAATTTCTCAGAAAATTAGGAAACAACCTTCCTCAAGACCCAGTAATACCACTTTTGGGTGTATATTCAAAGGATACTCAATCGTGCCACAAGGACAAGTGCTCAACTATGTTCATAGCAGCTTTGTTTGTCATAGCCAGAACCTGGAAACAACCTAAATGTCCCTTGACTGGATAATGGAGAAGGAAAATGTGATACATTTACACAATGGAGTACTACACAGCAGAAAAAAAATAACGGCATCTTGAATTTTGCAGGAAAATGGATGGAGCTAGAAAACATCATTTTGAGTGAGGAAACCCAGACCCAGAAAGACAATTACCACTATCACATATATCCAGTAGTTCTTGATTCCTCTTGTTGGAACTGAAATACATTTCACCCAGCAAAGCAAAGCCCTCTGTAGTTTTTAATATATTCTTTCTCAGCACATTTTAAAAATTTCCTTCAAAACTTTTCTCGAGGCCTTTGTTTCAATAATATATATAAGATTATGGTTGAACAAATAAAACATTTGTTTAATATATTTATCAATGCATAGGCATTTGCTTACTTTATGTCTATATATACTGCATTCTTTAAGAAAGCTATTTGCAATCAGCATGGCAGTTTGAATACTTGTAAAGTCATAAGGCTATTACAAGACTAATTTTATATTTTAAAATTTTGTACATGGCTGTTTTAGGTAATGGACTTTTTATACTCCTCTAGGTGGACATGGAAGGAAATACGTATAGACTAGAAGACTTCATAAAGAACCGAAGAAAACTAAGCAAATTTGAAGATGAAAATATCTCCCCTTTACATCATGCAGCAGCAGAAGGGCAAATTGAGCTCATGAAGATGATCATCCATGGGTCTTCTTGTGAAGGTAACCAAGGGCCGCAGTGTGGGTTTGTAAAGCCATCGACCTCTTAGGTGGGTGGATGACCAGGAAATTTGCCCCGGGATGTCAACTGTGCTTATGGGTAGACTGAAGGTGAAGAGCAGGTGCAGGGAAGCCGGAGTGGACTTGGGAGTTCGACTTTAGGAGATCAGGTGAACAGCTTGACCAACTGGACCAAACAGGAACAAAGTCAGTGTGACTGTGTGAGATTGAATTACTCTGAAGTTGGGTGTGTCCTCTTGGAAATGCCATGCACAATCAGAACTGCAGAGGATGGAGTCATTGCTCTAAGACCTTGCATGGATAAAGCTAATGAGATTGAGGACATGCATGGGCATCATTTAGGACCAGGGATCATGAATAAGGGGTAGCTAGGGGGACTGACAATGGCAGAGGAAGAATGGAGTAGACAAGAGGGTGGTGGGACACAGGCAGGAGAGAAAGTCACCCGGATGATAAGTTTGGGAGATCAGTTACGAAAAAGACATCAAGTAGAAAGGAGGTCACAGGAAAGTTCTGCTTTAGAAAGCCCCCGTGGTTATAGGAAAATGAACTGTGAAAAGGGGTCAAGCTAAAATCTCTTTCAAGTTGTGCATTGGTGAACAAAGCTGTTTAACTGTTCGAAGCTGAAAAAATATTTTGTCTTGCTTAAGCAGAGTGGGAGTCTAAGGTGTATTGGGGGAGGAGTGGATTGAGAATTAAAAAGTCAAATGTATGAAAGGAGTAGAGAAAGGAAATTTTAGAAGAGAGAGAAACAGGAAACCTGGCTGCCTCGTGGTTCCTACTACTGTTGATTGTTACCAAGTTTCATTCATGAGTGAGCACCTTTTGTTTCTTCAGACTTACCGTTATACCACCATTACCACGTTATCCCAGCCACAGGGCAATGCAGGATGAGGGGCAGTCTATTCTCACACAGCATTCACAAGGCGAATCACACCATGTGTTTACTGTACAAAGATGTGGAAAGCGTGTCCACCACTGAGGGCTGAAAATCTAGCTCAGGAGTTTAGTGATGGCCTGCCACTCTTCTCATGAATATTTTTGAAATCCTTGCCATAGGCCACACACTCTAAGATATTTGCAGACATAACCCAATATTATTCTCCCCACAGCTTTGTAAGGAATGTGTGTTTCTATACTTACAGATACATATTTGGATATATGCTTATAAGCCTTACCAAGCTTGGCTGACATAGTAGAGTGATTCATATAATTCCTTAGTAGCAGTGTGCTACTTTCAGTCCCTCTAAGTTTCAGCATCTCCATCTTTTTGCCTATTTGTCCTGGGAACATCTTTGGGACAATTGTAAGCTTGATTGAAATCACAGTCACATGGTACCTAGTTAGGATATGCTCTGATGGAATCTCAGAATTTGCTACAGTTATAAAAACAATATACAGATGAGAATTTAGCAATAAGAGAATCTGTTTTTACAAATATTACATAAAAATTTAACCCAATTTGTAATATCTGTACAAACTTTCATATATTCTCCATCAGTGTTCATTGGATAATTTTGAGAATTAAAACTATATCCTATTTCTATATTCCAAGACAATATAGCTAGTTTTATAAACACTCGACAGTGAGTTTTGAAGTGGGTAGTTACCCTGGAGGTATTAAAAACATCCCGAACACAATCTGATGTCTATTTTGTTATTTCTTTAGTACTGAATATAATGGATAGTTGTGGAAATACTCCACTACACTGGGCTGCAGAAAAAAACCAAGTCGAAAGTGTGAAGTTTCTTCTTAGCCAAGGGGCAAATCCGAACCTCCGGAACAGCACTATGATGGCACCCCTTCACATAGCCGTACAGTCCTCATACAATGAAATGATCAAGGTGAGGCTACTGGCCAACTGGGAGGGGGGCTTATCTGACTTGTTTCCTGTTTCAGAATAACCAACTTCGAGTGTCATGCAATGGCAAATGAAACATAACAACAACGATGCTATTTCTCACCAAACGACGGTGAGGAGGAGGAGGAGGAGGAGATGGAGAATTCTAATGGAGATCCTGTGGTGCTGATGATGATGGCCATGGGGAGGAGAATGGTGGTGGTGACACTGGAGAGTGAGATTGGGAGAATGGTGGTCATAGTGATCAGAGTTCAGCTTTGCTTGAGTTTAAACTTATCAGACATTTAAAAAAGAGCTTTAACTTCTCATTAAAAAGTATAAATTAAGACTATTAGTATCTCTATTTCATAGCTGAGTAAAAGGCACAGAGAGAATTAAATAACTTGCCTACAATTACACAACTCCAGCTCTAGGCTTGGCCATTTAGGTCTCTTTTATTCCCTGATTAAAATGCAAAGGATGACTGGCACCTGAGCGAAGGCAGGACTCATAGCTAGGATATGCCAGTTTTGTTAGATGAACAGCCTAAAAAAGACAGATCAGTAACATGTACAGAGATCGTAGGTGAAAAGTTTTGATTTTCAAGGCTTTAATTTCATGAATTAGAGAAATCCCTGATAAATTCTTGGGTACGACTCAGCCCATCACTTTTAGATTATACTTCATAGATTCACAGGCACATTGGAAAGGAAATTTGCTTCTTCAAAGAGGAATGTCATAAACAGATTGACTGTGTTCCACAACAGTTGTCATCGGGTTGGAGCCCCTTAGTGGGGTCACATATCAGATATCCTGCATATCAGATATTTACATTATGATTCACAACAGTAGCAAAATCACAATTATGAAGTAACAACCAAATAATTTTACGGTTGGGGGCACTGCAACACGAGGAACTGTATTAAAGGGAAAAGTTGAGAACCACTGTTCTAGAAGGTGTTTTTGAAGTCAGGCTGTTTGGAACTTAGCAATAGATATTTCTGCAGACAGAGACATCACTAGAAGTGATGTTTAGAGCAAACGTGCTAACCCACACCCAAGACAATTGTTAACAAATCACAAAAGAGAGTCCAAGGCTCCTCTGTCACAGAGCTTTCTCCCAGCTCTTGCCCAGGTCTGAAGTCTAGCATGTGGAGAGAGAAAGGAGTCCCTTTCATCACGCCCACTGTGATTTGGTTTTGAAATCCTACCTTAATTTTTTTTGTGACATGACAGTGTCATTAAATGTTGATGTGCCCCGGCTGGCCAGTTATTTTTGAAGGAGCGACAATGTCTTATTTGTCTGAACAAAATTATAACTCTTGACACTGTCCTGATAAGTGGTAATTATTGGAATGAAATAGAAAAATGAATAGCAGAGGAGGTGGCTAAAGCGTTGGTTATTGTGAAGACTGGGCAGGAACCCTGAGAAGGGGCTAGAAAATGTCCTTGGAAACAGTTCTTTGCCTTCTTCTTCATGCCTGCATCATCCAAAAGCCAGATGCTGCTCCCATCAGCAGCAGCTGCAGGTCCGCCCAGTGGTGCCATCTATTTCCTCACAGAGCTCTGGTGCTTTCCCTGAAGACTTTTTCCATAAATAAATGGTCATTAGCTTCATTTCTCTTGTCTTTCAAGGTGTGTTTTGGGAGTTCGAAGGCAGGTAGTTGTTGAGAAACTACTGTTAACGAGGAGACTCCTCAGACCAGTTGTAGAAATAAAAGTTCAAAAATAAAGCCCACAGCTAATTTGTGAAGTCAGTGTATAGATAAAAACAAAACAACAAAACTAGTTGTCCTGAACAACACAAAATCAAGAGAGCCAGAGAGTTGGGTTGTTTCTGCCTTAGACAGTCTTTGTATTCTCAGCCATAACCATGTCTTAGAGTGTTCTTATCTGCCTGCATCGTGACTATAGGAGGAAGAGGAGAAGATTTGCTCATAGACAATAATGCTATCCCCAGCCTACCCCTCTAGCCTTGCCTGTGGTCTTGTCTGTACCTATACAACCTTTCCCAGTCCAAAAGTCTTTTTCACTGTTTGATCTACCCACTTTCCCCTAGAATATCCAACGTTATCTATAAAGTTAAGAAGTTTTAAAAAACCAAAACCATCATTTATGAATCACCTTGAGTTCTTCCATAGGCAGTATTCTCTAGGGACCATTCACCAAGAGGCTTGGACATGACCTTATTTCTTGATGGTCTTTGTCCTTGGGGCTTAATTTGTTTCAGTAGCTTAAGCCTTTCCTTAGATTTTCTGGCTTCTTATCAAAGGACCCAGGAGAGTCCTGTAGAGCTTCTGGACATGTCTGGTCATGACTGAATGGGAATAGGTACATAGTTAGGTTGCACTCTCTGTGACCACTGCCTCCTAGAATTTAACCCAACCTTTGAAAGATTATGCTTATGACGGAACCGTAATTACATCCTGCAGATCTGTGACCTGCAAATGTGAGGGCAAGGATGGGAAGGATCCTGCTAGCAGACCTTGGTGGGTTCCTTTGCATGTGAGACTGGATTTGAAGAATAGCCCCTGAAGGTGCCTGAAACCCATGGAGAGACCCTTTGATTCTAATTTCTCTTCACCTATAAAGAACTCCCTGTTTGTTCTTCTGCACCAAACCGCAGCTCAAGTTTTCTCCTATGGACTCATTGGTTAGCTAATTCATCTGCTGAGGGTCACTTTGGAGCACACCCTGTTGGAAAGGAGTTCTGCTAGGAAGATGTTGGTTTTGAAGAAGTAGAGATTTTAGGGAACAGCTGGTTTGATAAGCTTTAACATGTAAACAAACAACAATAACAAACCCAATTTAACTGCCAGGCCAGCAGCATGGCTTTGCGATCCAGTGGTACAGGGTTTAATGAGAAAGGATAGGAAATTCAAGCCTTTGCCTAAGTTACACTGCAACATAAAGGCAATCCTGGGCAATCCCTGTCTCAGTCTTGAAACTAAATCCACAATTAAGGCTGGGGAAATGACTCAGTAGTTGAATACTTTCCAATAAGCATGAACAACTAGGCTTAGTTACCGATACTGGAAAAAAAAGATCTCAAGACCATGTTGAGTTTTATCATAGTATTCTATATATTATGTATTTGGTGGAAGAGGAATTGGAAAAGACAAGTCAGACCTGGTGTTTGGCTGTCATGTCTGGGGGGATGTGGCCCTATCTGAAAGGTAGCAGACTAGCTCTTTCCCAGTGATGTCTTCCTTCTGTCCAGGTCTTGACGGAGCACAGCACCACTAACATCAACTTAGAAGGAGAGAACGGAAACACAGCTTTGATGTCCACATGTGCCAAAGACAACAGTGAAGCTTTGCAGATTCTGGTTTGTAAATCTATCACACCCTGAGGCTTTCTTTCTGTGAATCAGTCATAAACTGTGATTTAAGAAGCGTTTCCTGATATGTGCTGAGCAGAATAGAAAGCATAGAAGATAGGTCTAAAGAACTTAGATCTCAGTGCTTTTGATGTGGATACAGCTGGAGGATCCAATACAAACCCTAGACTGTATATAGAAGATTAAAAATGAAGCATGAAAGAAAATAAAACAAGAAAAATCAAGGTATAAAGAAGATCTAGTCAGGGATTAAGATGGATCTGGTAGTAGGGCTAGAATATAAAACCAAAATATGGCAACCTGTATGACCCTAGAGGTGTGTGATCCTGGGGTTGAAGAGATGACTCAGTGCTAAGAGCCCTGCCTCTTCTTCCAGGGAACTCAGGTTTGGCTGCCACACCCACAAGGTGGATTACAATCTTCTGTATCCACAGGAGATCTAACACCCCTTCTGATCGGTGTGTATCAGGCCCACACATTGTTTACATACATTCGTATAAATAAAAACACCCATAAACACAAATTGCTAAAATTTAAACCATTTGATATTGAGCTTTTAAGTGTTCAAAGAGAAAAAGATGAATCTAGTCAGTTCTGGAGTTATTTGCCTTCTAAGGTGAAAGTGGAAGAAAAACACTGCATTCCCATTCCATGGCACTGTTGCTGTGGTTTCTCCGAAGCCTGAATCCAAAAGCCAGGCATCTCTCTCTGAAAAGTCACACCACGACACTGGAGATGCCTGTCTCGGGGATGGCTTCTGTCCTGGGCAACACACCTGATGAGGGCATTACAGGAATTTCACCAAATTAGCTTTTCAACTGTTTCTGAGTTACTTACCTGCTATGCAGAACTCCAAAGATATGCAAATATATCCTGATAGTCACACGTGCAAATATGTGTTCCTACCTTGCTTTTATTTGAATATTGGGCACTAACAACGTAGAACAACAAAACACTGTAGGAAGTGAAGGCATATAGAGTATTCCAGTCTTTGAAATTTTAAAACAGTGGGTCATCGTGCTTCAGACTTTCCCATAAGTGATGGCATCTGAACCACCCTTACTCACCACACTAGGTACTTCTGCTGGCCACAAGCAGCTATCTTAAAATGTATAATATCTATATTACTCAAATAACCTGTGTTTTAAAAAATTAAATATTTCACATGAAATGGAAAAAATATACATTGAACTTGTTAGGAGATTAAGACTTATATTTTTGTATTATGTGTATCTTCATCTTTATAAGATAAGGTGTCTCTATTGTAGTTACTTGCACAGACAGCATATCTATAGAGCTTTCTGCATGGTCTCCCCCAGGCTCTGCTAGCTGGAATGGCCTGTTAGAAGAAATGGCCTGTTAGGAGCACAGAATTTCTTGCCTACCTCTGTCACTTAATTAGTGTCACCGTTTTTTTTTTTCTTTACCTCCAGTTAGAAAAAGGAGCTAAACTGTGTAAATCAAATAAATGGGGAGACTACCCCGTTCACCAGGCTGCATTTTCAGGTGCCAAAAAATGCATGGAATTAATACTGAAATATGGTGAGTTGATGTTTTCTTTTATATTCTCCATAGTAAAGAAACCTTTATACCCGTCATCTAAAAAAGGATAGACTTTATACATGGGCCTTTATGTAGTTCGACATGTCCTGTCTTCAGGATCCTATTCTTTCCACTGTTCATCTTAAATGGTGATTTCTTCTAAAGGCGAAAAGCATGGCTTTAGCAGGGGGACTCATATCAACTTCGTGAATCATAAGAAAGTCAGCCCGCTCCACCTCGCAGTTCAAAGTGGTGATCTGGACATGATTCAGATGTGCCTAGACAACGGTGCACACGTCGACATGATAGAGGCAAGTGAAGTGTTCAGTCTGTGCGGCGCCGTGACTTGAGAATTCCCATCTAGTATTTCCCAAATGTTTTGTGGCTCCTTTATACTCGGGTAAGATTCGAAATACATCTAGCACAAAGAAATTTTGTTCCTCGGTCCATTCTGAGAAAAATATTCCCTAATTTTATAAATTTCAATACTCCAAAGCAAGCGACAAAGCAGATGCAGCAATAGGTCCCCCCTTCTTAACTGCATGAGCTGTAGTAAGGCCTAACCACAATAATAATAGCAGTAATATTCCCAGCCAGGAGCCCTGAAGCCCATTCTGAATGTCCTGGGTTCTAGTTTAACAACTTGCATCTTTTAACTGAGGATCACCTAATTCACTTCTAAGGATATGTATGCAAGATATTTGACTGAGTCTGGGTCCTGACCGGATGATAAGCCTAGACTACAGAGACTTTTCCCTAGAGTGTTCTGAGTCAGTTACCACAAGGGCCTTTTCTTCCTAAAGGAAGCAGAACTTGGTTAGTAATCACATGAAGCTTCTTCCTATTGCTTCCAAATTCTTGGAAATAGAAATGACCCTATTCATATGAAATTATTCCATTCAGCTGCCGCAGTAGCCGCAGAAATGAAAGGGACTCATATTCCTTGAGCAGAGAATGGTATTTAAGTAATGGTGATGGAAGTGCGTGCCAGGAACACTCGGGTTGCTAAGAAGTACTCTTTGCCAGAAAAGCCTCCATACTCATGGTTTTCAGTAAATCAAAGGATGCAGCTCATCACCTTCTGACATCCTAGATCTGGGAAGAATAAACTTCCTGCTGAATTTACCTGTTTTAGGTCCTTACCTTGGGATCTAAGCTAATGCTGACATCAATCTTGTTTATAGAATGGCAAATGCATGGCCCTCCATTTTGCTGCCACCCAAGGGGCCACTGACATCGTTAAACTCATGATCTCATCTTACACTGGAAGCCGTGATATTGTGAATGCAGTCGATGGCAACCAGGAGACCTTGCTTCACAGGCAAGTAGCCTTTCACATGTTAAGTATATATTGCTGAAAAAAGTTAGCCAGTATGGTAGTTAATGCTCTAAAGTTTTATCATTCATCTCAAATGACAAGGAAGCAAAGGAATTTTTCAACAAACCTATAAGCAACACTTTGCAATGGTTAGAGAAAAAGATAACTATTATCATAAAACCATACCCATAAACAAAGCCTATACATGAAAGATGAAGAATCACACAATCAGAAAGTCAGAAGACCTTAATAATGAATAATTTAATAGAGGCAAAAATGAATGAATTTGGGCATTTCTAAAAACGTACAAATCAATGGACAATTACCAAAGTGTCAGGTGGAAAATTATGCCTAACAGTAAAACCTTGAGTAATAGATTAAATTCACCAGTCAAATGACATCAACAAGATTCAACAACACAAGCAATTCACTTCATTAGTAAAGTTACATAGAAACAAAAGTGGGAAGGTTTGAAAAAGACACATGATGCAGTTAAGATCCAATCAAGTTGCAGTAGCTATATGCCTTTCAAATACGTCGGGCTTGAAGACAAACATGAAAGGGACAAAGGTCAGAGGAGAATTTATCACAATGATGTGTTGCAATTAGAAGCTCTAATGTCCTGCAGGAATCAAAGTAAGATGGTAAATAGAGCTTTACAGAAGAGCAGGGACATACTCTGGGCCAGTCATTGATCCTCTAGGAAGGGCTAAGGAAGCCCACACGTGAGATTATCTAAGCCATTTCTACACTCAGTTCTTTAGGTGTGTTCTGCTGTGGTCTCAGTGATGTGGTCACAGATCTGTGCAGCCTCCCCTGTGTTCCCCCTCTGATCTCTTCTACCTTCACCCACAAGTAGACATAAATGTGAAGCATCTACAGGAAATTCTCTAACCAAGGTTCCAAATAAAGAGAACTGTTTCAGTGGTGCTGGGCAGCAAAACAGGAAGTGTAGATTGGGATTCGATCCCATTGAGAAGACAAGGATTAAATATTCCTTCTGTAATTGATAGCATTGTTTCTCTGTACCTGTCTCTCTCTTCTCCTCCATACTTACTTATTAAGTAAGTAAAAGCCTGGAATGACAGAAGAGAAACAGTAAATTCTCAGTCAGTAATTGGAGCAGGAAAGCTGCATCATCTCTCCAGATAAGAATAGCAAGCTGGCAGTATAAGATGTACTTCTCAACTGGGAAGCAGCGGTAAAATCCAGATGAGCAAGACCACTAGAATGGATCAGATATGCAGGCAGGGTCTCACATAGGATGAATTGGAAAACTACAATTCCATAATACAAGGAGAAAATATTTAAAAAGCAAAACAAAGGAGTAGATCTCCAAACTAGCAAAAGATTTATTTACTTTCAATGACATATAAAATACAGAGCCAGATTGAAAGAGTGACAAGCAAAATATTTCAGTGCTTCAAAGATTTGAAAAAGTGAATGATAAATTATAGGATGACAAAAGAAGAATATAGAAAATGAATGAGTAAGATGTCAGTACAGAAGAGTCCAACAGAAACCTTAAAACCAAAAACGTAGGGCTAGCAAGAGATCTCAGTAGAAGGTGCTGGCCATCAAGATGGCTGGATGTACGTGGAAGAAGGAGAGAAATGACTCCTGCAAATTGTCTTCTGACCTCTACATGTGCACTATAACACACACACACACACACACACACAAATAGATAAATGTAATAAAATAAATAAAAGAAGCAAAAAATTGCTGCACCTAAGAAACACGCAAGAGCTTGGGAGTTCCCAGGCCTGATTCTGACAGCCCAGATTCTATTAGAACCACTCGAGTGTGCTCAGACATTGTTTAGAATATTTTTGATTCTAAGGTTCAGTTATTGGACACCCAGTGACCTCCCATAACATAGTTTAGCATACAAATATGCCAAAGAAACAATTATATTAGGAAAATGGGGCCTTCATGCTATATCTTGTGAACTTTTGATAACACTCAAGTGTGTTCTGAAATTTACGTATGTACATAAATTATGTGTGTATGTATTGGCTTTGCTGAAGCAGAGCCCCACCCAGCCACCCTCCCCGCAGACCTTCTGAGTGCTACAGATACAGTTTAGGCACGTCTTACATGATTCCTACAATTACAGCGATGTCCACCAGTTCTTTCATCTCCATTAAAAGATAGATGGTGCTACTCACTTCAGAATGAAGATTTTATAGGGAGATGGCTCATTAGAAAACGAGAGAGTGATTTTTGTGCTTTTTCCTCATTCTGACACTCAGAAACTGAATTCTTTAAAATAACATTTTGTTATTCAATGTCCCATTCAACTTATTTCTGAATGAAGTAGCTTTAGTTCTCCCATTTATTTAATAGAATCTTAATTCTTTTTTTTTCCAGAGCCTCATTGTTTGATCACCATGACCTGGCAGACTACTTAATTTCAGTGGTAATTACTCAACTGGCGGGCCTAGTTTTCTGAAACTACTAGCTACATTAAAAACGTCATTTAAATATATAGCATGGGTTTTCTAAAAGAAACTGCAGTTCTTTGCTAACATATCTGTATCTGTGTACTTCAAATTTAATAGATATATTTATGGAAATTAAAATTATTTTAATCTTAGACTCAAACTCAAGTATGATAAAAATTTTTGAAGTTCCATTTTAAATCATGACCATAAGAATTTTTCTTATTAATTGCAATTTATACTAAGAAAAACAAAGTATGTGGGGTGGGAGTTAAAGGTTTACTAAAAAGAAAGCCAAAGTTTCCAGAGGTCTGACTGACACATTTGCAGGGTGTTTCCTGTGGATACACAGTAGTCAGCCTATGGAGTTAAAAGAACCGGGGTGTACATTTTGATGTCCTTTTCATTTGTTTGTGCTTAGGGTTCATGGGTCTGTTGCAAAGAAAGCCCCTTGGAGGGCTGTCAATGGGTCCTCTGAGGACTGTTGGGTGCAGACAGTCAGCTGAGTCTTAATAACACTGCTCTCTTGGGAGAGATAGAGGGCAGACCATCAATGACACTTTCATCTTCCAATATAAGCTTTTAGCCCCACCTCCTCAGCATCATCTTCCAAACCATGAAAAACAATGAAGTTAAAAACTATGCTGAAGAAACTCTGCCAACAAAAGCACTTGATACTCTTCACTTGGAGAAGCCAACTTGGCTAGCTCCTCCTGGCTGGCATTTTCACAAATCTGCACTTGGGTGGTTGTGTGGTAGCTTTATTATCTCCACGAGATGGACATCCAACAAAGCTTCACTCATAATACTTGGCCTTTCTTGTGGAGCTAGCAGTAACTACTGAAGTTGTGATATTTACACAGCAAAATTTGGAGGAGCTTCACTAGAACCATGTTTTGTAACATGTGTGCTTTCTTGCAAAATTCCTGGCAGGAGAGTCACGGCTGACCCTCACTCACTGCTATTAACTTCCCATGAAGTTATTGCTGGTAATGGCCCCCGTGCTCTGCAAGAGCAAAGAGAAAGGACAGACTCAAGCAAGGCTGATTTTACTACTCTGCCCAAAGGAGAGAATTCAATCTGTGGAAAAGTTAAAGGCATTTTGTTTCTTATCATGTGGGATATAGTCTCATAACACAGAAAAATAACAAAAGTAATTTTTAAATGTGAATTTTTATATGGATGTTTGGCTAAATTCTTACCTTCATGATTTCAATTCACTTGTCTCAGTTTATCTATTTCAAATAAAGTAAGTATTTTAAGTGTGTGTTTTCTTATTAATGATTTAAAAATAACACAAGAAATAAGTGTGGGAATGCTCAAAATTAGAGACATTTAAAAAATGATGTATGCTAGAAACTAAAATAGTGTTTTAGATGAGAGACTTTTGTTTTTAAAAACTTGAGTAGTAATTGATCTATTGACAGATGTTAATCAAGAGCCTAACATGGGAAAATAACTTCATTGTTGAAATTATGAGATTTCCAATATTAATTGAGTTTTAGAGAAATGTCATGGAATCCTATGATTAGTCTTTAGATCGAGTGCTGGAGTAATGCAGACACTCTACATTTGTTAAGTGTTACAGAATCAACTGCTACTTTGTCTAATCTTGTTGAGCGGCTTGCTTTGTTTTAGGGAGCAGACATCAACAGCACCGATTCTGAAGGACGCTCTCCACTTATTTTAGCAACTGCATCTGCATCTTGGAATATTGTGAATTTGCTCCTCTCTAAAGGTACCGACTGGAAGCAAGCCGATTTCCTTAGATAAACATTTGTCATCCGTCTGTCTCCTGCCAGACACAGGGACATATTCTATACACAGAAATGTTAATGGAATACAGTTTATGCCTCCAATAGTGTTCAGTCCAGTAAAAAAAAATATTGAAAGGATAGTTCATAGCAGTTATATTTAATGTGTATCAGACAGCTATTAAACACCAAAGGTTTGTAGCTTTCTGTCACAGCAGACATATGTATAACTGCTGTCCCTGTCCGCATTGCAGACAAGCCTGGGCTATGGGAACAGAAGGGGCTGTCCATAGCTTCTCCTTTCTTTATCATTTCATATTCTTATTTTATATTTAAAACATAAGGATTCACATATAAATGTAAAGTATCAGATTTTTTCACCCTTTTACTCACACACAAACCCACACATCATAAAGTAAACTTGTTTTTGAAATATGTTCAATTCTTCCACCTAAGTGTAGTTGCCCCTAAGTTAAAGACTTGGAAAGTTGAAAGTCCACCAAAGGCTTTGTTATGAACACAGGAACAGATTTTACTTTTCTTGTTGTGCTTTTTTCCAGGTGCCAAAGTAGACATAAAAGACCATCTGGGGCGTAACTTTTTACATTTGACTGTACAACAGCCTTATGGACTAAAAAACTTGCGGCCAGAGTTTATGCAGGTATTGTATATCCATGAGTTTTTGTAAACTGAGTTGTGTTCAATAAAGAATAAAATTGGGGGGCAGGAGCTGGAGAGATGACGCAGGGATTAGGTGCACTGGCTGCTCTTCCAGAGGTCCTGAGTTCAAGTCCCAGCAACATCGTGATGGCTCACAACCATCTATAATGAGATCCAGTGCCCTCTTCTAGTGTTCAAGGAGAAGATTCATACATAATAAATAAATAATCTTATAAAAGGGGTAAACTGATTTTGCTGCCATTTATATCATGAGAGTGCATTCTAAGAATTCTAGAACTGCTTCCAAATGAAGAAACTTTATTTCCATCATGAAAGTGGGGATGGTGATAATTAGTTGATAAAGATAATCCAGGCTGAGTTTTGAAAGGTGCAGGGGTTTTGTACTCTCATCTATAACTGGGGCCCACAGCTAATCAGTCATTTTCCTTCACCGGCTCACTTCTGTGACTTGCCCATGAGTGGAGAAGCCAAGTATAAAGATGAATCAGTAATGTTCCACCATCAATTAAGAGAACTACTGAACACATCTGAGTCTGACAGCAGGACCGCACTTAGCGAGCAAGTTCATATTCACTACTTTACTATTAAGTGTATGTGATGCATCAGATTTCATAGAATAAGTAGATTTTCATGTTGTTAGTGTGTTTAATAAAGAGTCGAAATGCCTATAGGCTTCAACCTTTAAAACAAAAGTAAATGTTTATGATATAGATTGACTTACTAATTGCATTTTCTATTCTCATTTAATCTATTTTTTTGAAATTAAGTAAATCCAATTTCAAGACCTCCATCTGTTTTGCTTTGCTTAACGTAACATCTTAGGCTGTTAAGTGTTGTTTATGGAAACAATGGCGGAAGAAGCTGAGGGGACCCTGGTCACACAGTTTGGAGAATGCATTTTCCCTAAGTGCAGCGTCTCTCAAAACCTTGACATGACGTGACAGAAGCAAAGAAAGAGACCTCATCTCTATTTACTTTCCTCTCGCTGCCTTTCACATGGTTTGTAGGTTTGTCTTCACTGAATAGACTAGAAGCTGCTATGCTACAGAGTAGATTGAAACCTACCCTATGACTATGTCGGCAGTTCTATTATAACACTCCTCTTCCCACAGATGCAACATATTAAGGAGCTGGTGATGGACGAAGACAACGATGGGTGTACGCCTCTCCACTATGCGTGCAGGCAGGGAGTCCCAGTCTCTGTAAATAACCTTCTCGGGTTCAACGTGTCCATTCACTCCAAAAGCAAAGATAAGAAATCGCCCCTGCATTTTGCAGCCAGGTGAGGATCAGCCTCCCAACACATGAGCATGTCTGCTTCTGTCTTATGTTTTGTCTCATGCATATGAACCTGCCCTTTTCAAGCTATGGACGCATCAACACATGTCAGAGGCTTCTACAAGACATAAGCGACACAAGGCTTTTGAATGAAGGGGATCTCCATGGGATGACCCCTCTTCACCTGGCAGCGAAGAACGGACACGATAAAGTCGTTCAGCTTCTTCTGAAGAAAGGCGCATTGTTCCTCAGGTGAGGCAGGAATGTGTGGGATTGTGTATGTTTTAAATCGAGGCATTTTAGACTGTTTTCTGTAATATTTTAAATTAGGGCATAAGACTTTAGCCACTGATAAATAAAAACTATTTATCTAATTTAATTTTTCAAAACATAAATAATCTCTGGAACACTAAGATGGTTTTCAATATAATTCTCAAATGACAAATTAAGTGTATAGATTTTTATTTATTTATTTATATATTTAAGATTTCTGTCTCTTCCCCGCCACCGTCTCCCATTTCCCTCCCCCTCCCCCAATCAAGTCCCCCTCCCTCGAAAGCCCAAAGAGCAATCAGGGTTCCCTGCCCTGTGGGAAGTCCAAGGACGTCCCACCTCCATCCAGGTCTAGAAAGGTGAGCATCCAAACTGCCTAGGCTCCCACAAAGCCAGTACATGCAGTAGGACCTTGTTGTCACAGAGTAAGTGGCTTTGGACCTTTGAAATATTTTTTTGTATTCTATGTTGTTATTCCTTCATCTTCTTGTACAAATTACAAATACAGAGCTACATTTGTGTGTTTAAGTACATGTATATGTATTTAGCACACATACAGAAACAGAACCATCCAAGAACAAAGGCTTTTCCTTCAGTTTAATAAATGAGAGATGCAAAAAAGTGGCCATGGGCAACATTCAACATGAACTGAACCCTCTTATACTTAAGGGGAGTTAACAAGATTAACAAAACCAAGTTAAAAGAAGAAAGAATAAACCATGTATAGTAATTGAATACCATCTTCATAAAAGGAAAAAATACCCTAGAGACACTTCTCCAGGTACAATGAGCTATCTTCAAGCTCCCCAGAAGTGGCAGAGAGTAAGCAGGTTTTTAGGCTCATGTCCTTGAGCCAGGTTCTTCATCAGTCTACTGTAACACAAATGACAGTTTGGATCTGAGTGCTTTGCCCCTCTTCCTGCTTCTAAGGGACACAGAACATTCGACCTGCAAAAGGGACACACGCAGATCCAGCTCTGTAGTTGCTGTTTAATTATGTACTACTGAAATAACAAGGTGGCTCTCATAACCTGAGCAATTACCAACCAGTAACAAAATTAACTTGTGCAATTTCCTTCCTGTACCGTAGTTTTTAAAGTATCCCCAATCTGACAAGCTTCCATTATATTTGCGTCTTTAATTTCTGGAGAAAAGGGATAAATGCCATTGACAACACCAAAGAACATAGACTGGAAAACTTAGAAACAACATTAAACATCTTACAACAGTGCAATCTCTGGTGACTGGAAGGACAACGCACCTATTATGGAAACTTTTCTGACACAATGTTCAGGGAAACAAGACTGCTATGCTTGAAGCTCCTCATAAACAAACATGAAATACTGAGTTGTTACATCTCATGCCTGGCCATCCGTTCAGGCTACAGCCAGCTTAGAGGCATCACTTTCCATGTTTGATCTGTAAGTGCGTTTACATGACTTTTCTTACCTCTTTAACAGTGACCACAATGGCTGGACGGCTTTGCATCATGCCTCCATGGGTGGGTACACTCAGACCATGAAGGTCATCCTTGACACTAACCTGAAGTGTACTGATCGACTAGATGAAGAAGGGGTAGGTACTAGTTCCTCTGGACCAAATAAATCTTGACATGAAACAAACTTCCAAGCTTGATAGAAAGCATTCTTCATGACCCTCTTTCCATTCCTCATTCTGTTCTTAGTCTTTTGTTGAATTTTTAAAAAGTCGTCTCTTGGAGTGAGGAATAAGTAAAGGAGAATAGACGTAGAGAGGAGTGGGAGATGTGTGTGAGCTGAAGCTTCCCCTTCATTTCTACAGAGCCTGGGATTTGACCTTAAAGTTTTAGCTCTCTCTGAGAACCCAGAAAAATAAAGAAAGCAGAGCTGAGTGTTCATTCCTAAAGAGAGGCATCTGATATGTTAGAGCAATTTGAAAGGATTAACTTTACTGATTTTGATTGGGCTTTATTCTAGCTTTTTTTTTCTTTTTCTATTGCTATGATAAAGCATCCTAACACGGAACTTAGGGGAGGAAGGGGTTTGTTGGACTGACAGTTCTAGGTTACAACCTATCACTGGGGCAGAGGCGGGGCACATGAGACGGGAACTCAAAGCACCTACCCATCACATCCACAACAGAGCCAGAAGAAATGAATGTGCCTTTGCTGCTTGCTTTCTGTTCAGCATGGTTCTTCCAGCCTACAGTGGGCAGAGTCAATTAACACTCAAGACAATGCCCACAGGTGGATCAGATCTAGAGAACTCCTTAACTGAGACTCTGCTCCTAGGCTGGGTTGACCCTAGTCTGTGGCAAGTTGACAATCACCATCATAATCCTACACTTGTCAACTTGACATATAAACACCCTCATGACTTGTAAACCATAGTCTTCCTTTCTTTATATTCAAGTGCTCACATTAATATTATATATAAAATACAATCCAATGTAAAAGTTTCCAGTCCTTATAAAGTCAACTCTTTAAAAATTCAAAGTCTCTATAAAAGTCCAAAATCTCTTAAGTGTGGGATCCTGTAAAAAATAAATTTCATACTTAAGCATGATCAGTCCAAAGAGAAATGTGCTGGCTAGTTTTTTGTATACTTGTCACAAGCTAAGGCCATCTAAAAGGAGGGAAACTCAATTGAGAAAATACCTACATCAGATCAAGCTACAGGACATTTTCTTAGTGGTTGATGGGGGAGGGCCCAGTCCATTGTGGGCAGTGCTATTCCGGGATGTTGGTCCTGGGTTCTATAAGAAAACAGGCTGAGCAAGCCCTGATGAGCAACTAAGTAAGCAGCACTACTCTATGGTCTCTATAACAGTTCTTGATTCCCTGTTCCTACCCTGTTTGAGTTCCTGTCCTGACATCCTTTGGTGATGAATAATGGTATGGAACCATAAGTCAAATAAACCTTTTCTTTTCTAACCTGCATTGGTCATGGTGTTTCATCACAGCAATAGTAACCACAGAAGAAGTGGACCATGACATCTAAGTAAACCCAAACCCCACCAGTTGGATATACAAATCTCGTATCCCACCGTCCAACATCTGAGATCCAAAGAGCGTCACAAACGTCTCCAGCTCTGCCATCCACAGGACACAGTTTTTGTTCTAGGCCTGGGCCAGTCTTGCTTCACACCTGCATCTGGCCTTGGTGGATATACCACAGTATTGGCCTGTCTCCAGGCAGCAGAGTGTTCACCTGCACCAATGGCTTTGTGAGGACTCTCCATGTGGATTTCCATCCTAATACAAAGGGTCAAGCCTCAGCCACTCCATGATCTCCTCAATCTTTCATTTTTCCTGTCTTCAGAATCCCATACCCCCATGGGCAATGTTTTCACTACCAGTTCTGCCTGCCCTCACCTCACCAGACCACAACTGTATTACTTCCCATGTACAAAACCTGAGGAAATGTTTTCCTATTTTCCCAAGGAAGCACAGAAGGCTTCACTGAGCTTCTGTGCCCTCTTTTTAATTACAGCTGATTCTTCAGCCCCAGCATGATCAGCACACAGATTCTTAGCCAAATATCACACAAATGGCCCCTATCTCTGCTATCAATAAACTCCCCCTGTATCATGATCTGGGCCTCCACTATCTGGAGGTAACTTAAGCATTCTTAATGTCCAAGTTCCCACACAAGAATTTCCCTTTAAGCCCTGAGCACTCAATGTCTTTTCCAACCTAAAGTTCCAAAATCACCTACAATCCTCCAACAAAATGATTCAAAGCCATAAAAACTCATGAGATCATGTTCATCACAGCGACAGCCCTATCTCTGTTAGTGCTGATTTCTGTTCTGGTTTCATTTCTGCTGCTGTGATAAAGCAGGCCAACAAAACACAAAAGAGGGTGTATCTGATTCACAATTCCATGTTCCAGCCAGTCACTGAAGTCAAGGCAGAAACTCAAAGAAGCTAGCTATATCACATACACGGCCAAGAATAGAGAGATGAGTGGACCCTGGCTGTCTGGCTCCCATATGGCTTTCTCCTGTCTTTTCTTGTTTAGGAATCCCCACCAAAGGAATGATGCCACCCACAGTGGGCTGAACCCTTCTACAACAATCAACAATCAAGCCACACCCCCTTAGACAGGACCACAGGCCAACCAGATCTAGACAGTTCTTCAGCTGAAATGCTCTTCTAGGTTGTGTCAAGATAGCCATTAAAGCTGCAGTTTTTCCTTATTTGTTTAGGGAGTGTTGAAATGTGTATTTCCTCAAGAAATGACTGGGATAGGCCATCACGATTTCTGTTTCTATTTTAAAAAATATTTTTATATAGGAAATTGACAAATTTGCAACATTATGCCAGTCTCTGACTTCTGTTTTTTTTTTTTTTTTTTTTTTTTGGTTTTTCGAGACAGGGTTTCTCTGTGGCTTTGGAGCCTGTCCTGGAACTAGCTCTGTAGACCAGGCTGGTCTCGAACTCACAAAGATCCGCCTGCCTCTGCCTCCCGAGTGCTGGGATTAAAGGCGTTTCTATTTTAAAAAATACTTTTTATATAGGAAATTGACAAATTTGCAACATTATGCCAGTCTCTGACTTCTTAATGAGCTTGTAGAACACGGAAGTCTGGAATCCACAGTTCTAATAGGTGCTAAGTCCTCAGGGGCAAGTGCTTCTGTGTTTACTATCAGAGCCTTACTTCGGAAGCTTCTCATTTGTCCTTGGGGCATCATCTCACCACAGAAGCAACACAGAACACCATAAAGTAACACACACAGAGTCTTTGGGTGATAAAGCCATTGTTTAAATCATATGCTGGCTACTAAGTAGTTAGAGCTTTGTTCTTTTAAGCAATTCGGCAGTGAAACAAGGCAAGGACAAAGGGCTTTACCACACTCAACCCACTTATGTGCTCTGCTTTTGTCTGAAAGAACACAGCGCTCCACTTTGCAGCACGGGAAGGCCACGCCAAGGCTGTTGCCATGCTCCTGAACTACAACGCTGAAATCCTCCTGAACAAGCAGCACGCCTCCTTTCTTCATATCGCACTGCACAATAAGCGGAAGGAAGTGGTTCTCACAACCATCAGGAGTAAAAGGTGTGTGTCTTCCCGTCTCCCTTGTAACCCTCATCCTAAGGTAGCAAAGGTGTGTGTCTTCCTGTCTCCTTGTAACTTATGTCCGCATGTAACAGGGTGCACCCCTAGCCTGAGGACAAGTGAGAGGGAAGGAACGCGCTTCAGCTATGAATCAGTTTACACAAATGTTCAGTTACTGATAACAATGGCAGCATTGCTTCATCCTCAGTCTTCCTTTCTACAAACTAAGAGTGATAGCCCAACACTACCTGCTTAGCCCTTTGTGAGACCCTGGGGTCCACACACAGGGAATGATCGGCAACAAGGTCAAGCAAACTCTGCTTTGCCTTCCTGGACTTGCCTGCCAACAAAAACTCGCAAACTGGTTGCTGATGAAGATGGGTCTAGGCCTAGGGAGGTAGCCCGTCAGGTCACCATGCCTGCCCGCAAGCCCGGCTACCTGAGTTTGATCTTTAGAACACATATGGTAGAAGGAAAGAACTGACTTCCACAGGTTGTCCTCTAACCAAATAAGCACACAGCCAGTTCCTCCATGCTGCATGTTCCTCCAGACAAACACAATAAACAAATACATGTAAATAATAACAATATAAAAAGTATAATAAAGATTACTAATGGCATTTAATGAAATGTCCCTTAACAACACGTGACCTTTTATAGGTATCTTTGTAAATCATCCTCTAAGGAGTTTACTCTAGTTTTTCAAACATTTATTTAATTTATCGTTTCTGTGTGTGTGTGTGTACCACATGTGTACCTGGTGCCTGAAACTAGCCTTGTGGGTAATTGTGAGGCATCATGTGGGTGCAGGGATTGAACCCAGGTCCTCTGGAAGGACAGTCGGTGCTCTAACCACTGAGCCATTGCTCTAGCTCATACAAAGACTTTGAATGATGAAGCTTGGTGGTGGTCTTTCCATTCTTCAAACAAAGCTCCTCTATAACAGCACAAATAAATATTCAGACAACTTCTGTCACCAATTTGGGGACACAAAGTGACCAAAAATTTATATTCAAGGCAGCAGATCTAGCCTTGATTTGGAGCTTGTGGAATTTTGAGAAATTTGTTAGCTTTGAAACACCAGTGAGGCAAAGTGCTTAGCCATCTTTTCTGATAACAAAGCAGATATTCCACTTGAATTTACTCATGTGTTGGTAGTAGTACCACAAGGCTTATCTTACAGGTATTATCTTAGAGATAATGAGTTCATCTCTGCTTCTTGTTACTGATTTAATTTCTCTTTAAGTACCTTCCAGTTCCATCTCTTTAGAAGGTGATAAAGAAACACTCTGTAATGTTATGTCAGGTTGTACCCTCACTATGACATTCAAGATTTGTTATTTTTTTTTGATTCTACTCAATACATCACATATATGAGTCAAATATGGATGTCATACAAAGTTGCTGATTCAAGTATGTGAATACAACTTTCCCCACCTAACACAATAACCTCTGGAAGTACTTACTTAGCATGTCAGAATTGCAGGTAGGAACTAAGACAAACACATGCCTCTTTAAAAGACATTTAAAGAAAGATAGCAGCCATTCTGAACTTTACCCACATTCCTAATCCCCGTTAACAGATTAGTGTGATGTAGATGAACTGATCTGGGCTTACATGGCTCCACTGTGGTCAGCCTGTGAACATGATGCTATAGAATACAGCTGATATTAGGCTTCTACTACAAGTATAAAATCTTCAGTTTCAACTACAACTCAAAAGGGTGATTAATTATTGTACTTCTCTGTAGTAGGGAGTCCACTTTTTTATTTCCTGACTGCTCAGACTCCCAAAATAACCACACAGAAACTGTATTAATTAAATCACTGCTTGACCAATTACTTAAGTGTATTGCTAGCTAGCTCTTACATTTAGTATGAACCCATCTGCATTATTTTATATTTTACCATGAGTCTCGTGGCCTTTCTGCAAGGTTTCAGTGTGTCTGTCTCTGGTGATGGCTCCATTGCATCTCTTTGACTCCTCCTCCTTTCTTCCAGCATTCAGTTTAGTTTTCCCCACCTAGTTATGTTCTGCCTTGCTATAGGTCCAAAGCAGCTTCTTTATTAATCAGTGGTATTCACAGTATACAGAGGAGAATTCCACATCACTTCTCTTCTGTTTTATTTGCAGATGGGATGAGTGTTTTCAGGTTTTCAGCCATTATTCTCCAAGCAATCGATGTCCAATCATGGAAATGGTGGAATACCTACCTGAGTGCATGAAAGTAAGCTCCTTAAAACAAAAGTCTTTGTGGGGATGTGCTTGACATGTAGTGTGGAAGGAGGGCTTGCTCTTAGAATTTTAACCTTGCAGGAGCAGTTCCTACCTTTGCAGTTTCTAATTTTCAAAGACTAGCAAATAGTTAACGAGGGCCTGCTTGGAAAAATAATACTAACAATTATTTCCTGTAATATAATAAAATCTGGTAAATAGATTTTCTTCTTCAAATAATTCATATTTAGGGCAGAAACACAGTAGTATTTGATAATTGAATGAAAGCTCTTCAAGTTTGCATTTGTTTCTAGCATTTATATCTAAGATGCCTTTCCTTAAGGATACAGGCACCTGACTTCCTATAGGAATCAAAATACCTAGGACAGCCTTCTCAGACAACAGAATTGCTTGGTTGAACACCAGCTGCTTCTGAGTGTAGAAACCTCTCCCACATGGCACACCCATTTCTTCCTTTCTCATGCTCAGTTAAGTGGTAGTGGTCATATATGGTTATTCTTATGGAACTGGTTTTTTTTTTGTACTAGGAAGATGTTGTTCAATATATGTAACTATTCAAACATGAAGATAACAGTTTGTGGCTTGATCAGCAAAGAAAAACCTGTTTATAAGGCTCCTGCACCCCATATGAACATATAACCTAAAGAACCATATTAGTGACAGGAAGCAAAGTCATGTTTTTAACTCGCCATGGCCTTTCCTAGCGCAGCAATGCCACTAAAGAAAACTCTCACTTCTGTGTTATTCCTGGAGAAGGTTTGTAAAGCAAAGGAAAGCACGGAACCAGCTTGTATATGATTTTAGACATGAAACAAAGTCCTTTCTCATGTGCAGCCTGCTCCCCCAACATCTCAGCTGGGTTTTCTTTCTCAAAGGTTCTTTTAGACTTCTGCATGATACCTTCCACAGAGGACAAATCCTGTCAGGACTACCATGTAAGTTTATTTTATTATGATAATCTGAAGTGTATTTTTTTTTAAAAATTCCTTGAAATATGAAAGTGGTTCTACAATCTATAGTAGATGATGAGTATTGGCTTCATATTGTATTATTTGTTTATGAGAGAATAATCACATTCTGTTTCCCCCAAATATTTAGTTATTTCTAATCCCATTAGTTAGTGTTGCTTCCAGTGTTTACACTTACTTGTATATTTTATGGGAAGAGTGACTATCTAGGAAACTAATGTCTCATGGGCGTGGCTGACCAGTTGTCCTAAGAAGTCTGGGAGCTTCTTAGGCATATATGAAGCTATCTTGTTATATCTTGTTATTCCTAGCTCTGAGAGGACAACATGACAAGCAATCATTTTTCCCCTCAGGATTAAGAATCTAGACCACCAGATTTTGGGTGACTTAGATCATTTATATAAACAGGGAGCCAATTTTTTTCTTCTTTCTGTAAAGAAATTAAAAATACATTTCCAATTTATTTATTTTTATTAATTACATGAATAACTTGGCTTTCTTTTCTCCATTTGAGATTACTACTAGTTATACCAGTTGACTTTCAGCAAAAGTTTGAGTTTTCATATTTGATTTATCAAGAAGGAGTGACAGGGGTCTAGACAAATGGTTCAGTGGTTAAACACACTGACTGCTCTTCCAGAAGTCCCAGGTTCAATTCTCAGCACCTTCATTGTGGTTCACAGTTGTCTTCAATTCCAGTTCTAGGGGATCAAATCCCTCTTCTGGAATTTGTGGACACCAAGTACATATGCATTATGCAGACATATATGTAGGCAAAACATCTATACATCTAAAATAAACGAATACATCTCAACAAACATTTTATAAAGAAGTACTTGAAGAGCTTTACTAGGCTGATTATTGACTAATACTTTAAATTTATGTCTTCCACAGATTGAATATAATTTCAAATATCTTCAGTGCCCACTAGCATTGACCAAAAAATTAACAACTACCCAGGATGTGAGATATGAGCCTCTTGCAACCCTCAATGTAAGTCTAGTGCTTGTATTAACTGATTTGTTTCCTCTTGGACTCTGAATTGATTGCCTACAACATGATGGTTGGAAATGGAAGAGCTCTGGGGAGATAGTTTTATAGTTCAACGTCCATACCTACCACCTTCTGTTGCCCAAGCCTGTATTTTTTCACTCTGGCCTTCCTAGGATTCATCTGCTCTGTAGGATATCCTTTCTAGGTTGACATGCTCATCTGGCAAGGAAGATCCTTCTAAATGAGGATCTGTTGCTCACCAAAGTATTATGTCTATGTATTATAGTAACATTAGCGTTTTCATGAATCATAGAGGATCTGGGGGGGTCTTTATTCCCTAGAGATTATTAATTTTTCTTTATATAGGCCTAGGATAATTAAAGTATAATAATTTTGATATAGATACTTGTAGTTACAAATAACACCCCCCAGATTTATAATGTATATATTATTTTAACTGCTTGTATGTGCCCTATTGACAGAATTCCTTCTAAAAAAGTAAGGCTGAATTTCTTCAATGACAGAATGAGGGTAAACCCTTGCCAATTTGTCTATAATTTCTATTTCTGCTGTAACTCTATTTTAGATCAATAAGATTATACCATATGATTGGGACAGAGATTAAAAGGGACAGACTAAATCAAGTGGTTGCACCTGCATAAAAATATTGACTCTGACTCTCTCTCTCTCTCTTTCTTTTCATTCTCTCTCTCTCTCTCTCTCTCTCTCTCTCTCTCTTTCTCTCTCTCTCTCTACCTACCTATACATGTATCTCTGTCTCTCTCGCATTTTTTTGAGACAGGGTTTCTATGGGTAACCTTCTCTGTCCTAGAACTCTCTCTATAGGCCAGGCTGGCCTCGATCTCACAGAGATCCACCTGCTTCTACATCCCAAGTGCTGGGATTAAAGGCATGAGCTACCACTGCCCAGTACATTTTTAGTTCCTGTGAAAGTTTAAACTTCTCAGATTTTTTTTAAAATAAGCAAACATTGCTCTTACAGTACCATAATAATATTATAAATATAAAAGCAAAGCAGAAGACTCAGTTCATCCTCAGTTATTTAACACCACTGTGTACTTATTGCTCTTTCCTTGTTCAGGTCATGGTACAACATAACCGCATAGAGCTCCTCAACCACCCTGTGTGTAAGGAGTACTTACTCATGAAATGGTGGGTATCAGCACTTCTGCTTTAAACAATGTTACCCTTGATTCTATTCAAAGCCTTCTCAATCATTTTATTGCAGTTGTATTTTGTTGTTTTAGATATTATTATATTGTAGAATTTAAGAAGAATGAGCATTGAAGACAAATTTGTCATTAAAAATTATTGTTTATCTTTGACTCTAATACATTTTGAATGTGTGTTTTTTTAATGTGAGACAAATCACCCTCTGGGTCACAAAGTTTAGTGAGCAGTGAGACAATAGGGGCACAGTACAGGAAGGCTCAATTTGCAGCTACGACACATGGATGAAAGATTTATTTTCCATGAACTAGTAAGACATTGCCATTTGCTCAGCAACTGAGATTCTATCTCTGAAAATGAGGAACATAAATTAGAAGAACTTTTGGTTGTAAATATGAGGAATTTATAAAATAGATGTCTGAAATAGATCGTTGCTATTTTCCGTAGATATCTGTAAATATATTTATTTGAGATGACTCAGTTATGATTTGTTTATTTTTTTGCAGGTGTGCCTATGGATTCAGAGCTCATATGATGAACTTAGGATCTTACTGTCTTGGTCTCATACCTATGACCTTTCTTGTTGTCAAAATAAAGCCTGGAATGGCCTTCAACTCAACGGGAATAATCAACGAAACTACTAATCATTTGGAAACAGTAGACACTCTGGTATTTCAAAACTTCAACATTTTAAAATTAAGGATTGTAAAATTGTGTTTTTCTTTAGAAATAACAAGTTTATGATAAAGCTGACATCAGTTATTGTTAATAGAACTTATTTGTGGTATAAATTTCTTCAAAATTTTTTTTGAGTTGAGAAAAAATATTAACAAATGGTCTTTGTGGAGAATGCAGAGAAAGGGATATAGGAAGAGCTGGTTCATGAGTCCAAGCTTTTATGAAAAAATGTAAAAACTTTGGAAATAATTGTGATGATGATGTAATGGTATGAAATGGTTAATGAGAGGAATTATATTTCTATAGTGTAAAGAAGTATTTAAGATGTAGATTTTTTTAAAGTTACAAATTAGGAGGAGAGGCAGTGAGATGGAGCAATAGCTAAAAGCACTTGTTGTCAAGTCTGATGACCTCAGCTCAATACCTAGGACCCAAATGATAGGAAAAGAGAACCTACTTCTTCAAACTGTCCTCTGATGTCTACCTTCATCCTATGACATGAGCGTATGAATGCATACATGTGTGTGCACACACATGCACACTAAATAAAGTAACAAATATATGTAATACTATTTTAAATCAATAAATTTTATGATGAGTACTTTACCATACTTTTAAAAAATATGTGTAGACTTGCAGATCTGTGTCCCTTTATAATTCACTTGACAATCTTTGAACATATAGTAATAGGGATGTTAAGAAATGAGTATATTATCTCTACTAAGTGAGAGAAGGATTGGCGTGATGAGAATTTTCAGTTTAATGCAATTGTGGACAATGCATAGAAATGAAACAAATATAAAATGAAATTTACTATTGGAAAATTATAGTGGAACTAAATTTTATCTACTCAAACCCCTCATCATACTTTCTGTTTCAGAATTCATTTCCAATAAAAATATGTATGATTCTAGTGTTTTTATCAAGTTTATTTGGATATTGCAAAGAAGTGGTCCAAATCTTCCAACAGGTACATAATTCAGTTTGTATTTCTAAGCTCTAATCCTTTTAATATAGAGAATTAACTAATAAACAATTATTTAAATGGTATTTGCCATATTCAATCCACACAGTGTGACTCATGTAGAAACTTCAAATTGTAGAAATAACGTAATTTTTTTTGTATTCATATAAGCTCTAATGTATTCAAACATGAACAGTTTCAATACATTTTTCTTAAATGATTCTTTAAGAATTATTAATGTTTGCCCATCTTAGTTTCTTTTCCTTTTCTCCACTCTCTTGATGTCACTGACCTTTACCCTATATCATTAATTTTATTTTGCAAGCCAAATGATTCTATCTAACCAGGTACATCCTATCAATATTGTGCCGAGCCAGCAGCAGGCATGCAGTTACAAAAATAAAAGAGATTCAAGCACTATGATTAGTCCTTCGCAATATGACACTTTTAAATTTTTGTAATCAGCTGACTGTTTTATGCCATACCTATGATATTATTTTCAGGTGTAAGTCAATTTTTAAATTATTTGTATATCACCTTTATGTGCTCAACAGTTGTAATCTTATTCTTTAGAAATTCTAAAAATGGATATGATTATCTAGCTTTTTTTTATTACCAAAAGTAGATTTTTTTTGTATTATTTTTTTTTATTGAGAAAAAGAGAAAAAAAAACAAGTTTCCACCTCCTCCCAGCCTCCCATTTCCCTCCCCCTCCTCCCACCCTTCTCCTCCTCCTCCCACTCCTCTCCCTCTCCCTCTCCAGACCAAAGAACAGTCCAGGTTCCCTGCCCTATGGTAAGTCCTAGGTCCTCCCCCCTCCGTCCATATCTAGGAAGGTGAACATCCAAACTGGCTAGGCTCCCACAAAGCCAGCACATTAAGTAGGATCAAAACCCCGTGCCATTGTCCTTGGCGTCTCATCAGCCCTCATTGTTCGCCATGTTCAGAGAGTCCAGTTTTATCCCATGCTTTTTCGGTCACAGTCCAGCTGGCCTTGGTGAGCTCCCCGTAGATCAGCCCCACTGTCTCAGTGGGTGGGTGCACCCCTCGTGGTCCCGACTTCTTTGCTCATGTTCTCCTGAAATGACCCTATCCTAGAGCAATACTGATGAATATCTTGCATATCATCATAGAACCTTCATCTGGTGATGGATGGAGATAGAGACAGAGACCCACACTGGAGCACTGGACTGAGCTCCCAAGGTCCCAATGAGGAGCAGAAGGAGGGAGAACATGATTATCTAGCTTTTTAAATTTTTTTTTTTATTGAGAAAAGGAAAAAAAAGAAAAAAAGTTTCTGCCTCCCCCCCAGCCTCCCATTTCCCTCCCCCTCCTCCCACCCTTCTCCACCTCCCTCCACTCCTCTCCCCCTCCCTCTCCAGTCCAAAGAGCAGTCAGGGTTCCCTGCCCTGTGGAAAGTCCAAGGTCCTCCCCCCTCCGTCCATGTCTAGGAAAGTGAACATCCAAACTGGCTAGGCTCCCACAAAGCCAGAACATACAGTAGGATCAAAACCCCGAGCAATTGTCCTTGGCTTCTCATCAGCCCTCATTGTTCGCCATGCTCAGAGAGTCCAGTTTTATCCCATGCTTTTTCAGTCACAGTCCTGCTGGTCTTGGTGAGCTCCCAGTAGATCAGCCCCACTGTCTCAGTGGGTGGGTGCACCCCTCGTGGTCTTGACTTCCTTGCTCATCTTCTCCCTCCATCCACTCCTCATTGGGACCTTGGGAGCTCAGTCCAGTGCTCCAGTGTGGGTCTCTGTCTCTATCTCCATCCATCACCAGATGAAGGTTCGTAGCCAAGAGGATAACTATATGTTTTTCCTTGGGTTCACCTTCTTATTTAGCTTATTTAGGTTCACCAATTGTAGACTCCGTGACCCTTATTTATGGCTAGAAACCAATTTTGAGTGAGTACATCCCATGTTCATCTTTTTGGTTCTGGGTTACCTCACTCAGGATAGTGTTTTCTATTTCCATCCATTTGCATGCAAAATTTGAGAAGTCATTGTTTTTTACCGCAGCATAGTACTCTAATGTGTATATATTCCACACTTTCTTCATCTATTCTTCCATTGAAGGGCATCTAGGTTGTTTCCAGGTTCTGGCTATTACAAATAATACTGCTATGACCATAGTTGTACAAATGCTTTTGTCATATGATAGAGCATCTCTTGGGTATATTCCCAAGAGTGGTATTGCTGGGTCCAGGGGTAGGTTGATCCCAAATTTCCTGAGAAACCGAAACACTGATTTCCACAGTGGTTGCACAAGATTGCATTCCCACCAGCAATGGATGAGGGTACCACTTCCTCCACAGCCTCTCCAGCAAAGGCTATCATTGGTGTTTTTGATTTTAGCCATTCTGACAGGTGTAAGATGATATCTCAAAGTTGTTTTGATTTGCATTTCCCTGATTGCTAAGGAGGTTGATCATGACCTTAAGTGTCTTTGGCCATTTGAACTAATTCTGTTGAGAATTCTCTGTTCAGTTCAGTGCCCCATTTTTTAATTGGGTTAATTAGCGTTTTAAAGTCTAGTTTCTTGAGTTCTCTATATAATTTGGAGATCAGACCTTTGTCTGTTGCGGCGTTGGTGAAGATCTTCTCCTAGTCAGTAGGTTTCCTATTTTGTCTTAGTGACAGTGTCCTTTGCTTTACAGAAGCTTCTCAGTTTTAGTAGGTCCCATTTATTCAATGTTGCCCTAATGTCTGTGCTGCTGGGATTATACATAGGAAGCGATCTCCTGTGCCTATCTGTTGTAGGGTACTTCCCACTTTCTCTTCTATCAGGTTCAGTGTGTTCGGACTGATATTGAGGTCTTTAATCCATCTGGACTTGAGTTTTGTGCATGGTGATAGATATGGGTCTATTTTCATTCTTCTACAGGTTGACATCCAGTTGTGCCAGCACCATTTGTTGAAGATGCTTTCTTTCTTCCATTGTATACTTTTAGCTCCTTTATCGAAAATGAGGTGTTCATAGGTTTGTGGGTTAAAATCCGGGTCTTCTAAACGATTCCATTGGTCGACTTCTCTGTTTTTATGCCAGTACCACACTGTTTTCATTACTGTAGCTTTGTAATAGAGTTTGAAGTCAGGGATGGTAATGCCTCCAGAAGATCCTTTATTTAACGTAATTTTTGATAAGGTCACTCTGCCTTTTGATACACATGAGAGAGTTGCTCTACCCTTTCAGAGTCCAGGTGGGTCTGTCTTTCCACTGCAATCATTAGAAATGACTTCACCGTGTTTGCTCTTGTATTATTTAGGGTATTTTTGCTTATAGTCAATTTTAATTGTACTACTAAAATCCAATTTAAAATTTGAAATATAAGTACTTTTAAAGAACTTCTCTAGACCCCATGTCAAACAGGTCTATCTTTGAATCACTGCCATAAGAGGATTTTTTTTCTTTTTATTGAAAGCCAAATTGTTATAAAATTTGGAGCCTTTTTTGAGCTGGGGTTCTTACTCTGGCTGAATCTGGCCTTGAACTCACAGTCTGCTTGCCACCACCCTTGGAATCCTGTGGTTATCTGAATGTGCCAACCCATGGCTGTAGTAATATGTGCAGCGGCGGGGCTGCGTCCCCAACACCCCAGCCGCCTGCCCGGCTAGCTTATGCCCTGAAATAATTACATGGACACTGTATTCTTTTAAACACCACTTGGCCCATTTCTATCTAACCTCTTCTAGGCTAATTTTCACATATTAATTTAGCCTTTGTAGTAATAGGGACGGCAGGGCTGCATTCCCGGCACCCCAGCCGCCTGCTCGGCTAGCTTATGCCCCGAAATAATTACACGGACACTCTATTCTTTTAATCACTGTTTGGCCCTTTAGCTCTAGCACTTACAGTCTAATTCTCACATCCCGATCAACCCATCTCTAATAATCTGTGAGAACCGGTCTTACCGGGAAGATTCTAGCCTATGTCCATCCTGGGTCGGAGCTTCATGCTGGGAGCGGGGCATGACGTCTCTGCTGAGGCGTCTGCTCCGGAGAGCAGAGCTGTGGAGTCTCTGAGCTCACTTCCTCTTCCTCCCAGCATTTTGTTCTGTTTACTCCTCCCACCTATCCTCTAACCAATAAAACGGGCCAGGGCAGTTCCTTTATTAGCCAATGACCTTCCTCCATCACATGGCTTGAAATTTTTTCATGGCATTGTCTCTTACTTAATTATTCTTTTTAAGATGAGTTAGGTTAGGTGCAGCTTAGATATATAAATTACATAAAGTACCCAAAGATCTTTTCTTGGATTGACAAATGAGAGAGAGTCCGTATTTCTTTTTTTTTTCAAGGTTTATTTATTAATTATGTATATCGCATCTGCTTGCACATATCCCTGCAGGCCAGAAGAGGGCACCAGATATTATGGGTGTGAGCCACCATGTGGTTGCTGGGAATTGAACTCAGGACCTCTGGAAGAACAGTCAGTGCTCTTTACCATTGAGCCATCGCTCAGCCCTGAGAGTCTGTATTTCTATGTATATAGTTTGAAAATTTTCATTTATAACTTTTGTATATTTTGAACTTTTTATAAATGATAACTCTTTTATAGCAGTACATTTTTAAAATTTTCTTTGTTGTATAATGTAAGTCCACAGATATCCGTATTAAAGACAAATGACATTAATGCAAATTTACATTCACTTTCTATAATGTATCAAATACCCTCTAGTGTATGTGTATTCTTTTGGTCAGTGAATTGTCACACTCCTAAGAGTAAAGCTGCATTGTTGTTTTACTTTAAATGATTTAAGACCCATTATTCAGACTCTCTTATCTTCTCCCATCTTCCTAACTTTACATTGCAATTGATAGTTTAAAAACTCGGACATTACACACTTTCTCTGTTAGAGTTGATCTCCCTCTTTCTGGCTTATGTTGAAATGGTCTACAGTATGGAGCATTTAACGTCCAGAACAGTCCACTAAGCACCCATTGTGCTTTGACTTTGTTCTTTCATTTTCAGCTCATGTCTCAACCGTCTTTATAGCTGGACTTACTCACAGAGCCTGACCAGAAACGTGTGCCCTAAGAGGCAGAAAGATCTCAGGAATTATGAGACCAAACTACAGTTCTTTAGAAGTTCCCTAAAGCTGGGAGGTGGTGACACATGCCTTTAGTCCAGCATTTGGGGGAAGATGCAGGAGGATCTCTGAGTTCGAGGCCAGCCTGGTCTACAGAGTGAGTTACAGGACAGCCAAGGCTACACAGAGAAACCCTGTTTTGAAAGGAAACAACAACAGTAAAAAGACCAAAAAAAAAAGTTCTCTTAAGAGGGAATAGGCTATACAACACAGACAGGGCAAATAAGAAAAAGACTATAGCACTTTCTTAGTTGTCAGCTACTCGTGGCACTAGGACAGCCAGTGCCTCAGCCGTCTCTAGCACTGACGGTAAGTCACTCCAGAATGACAGATGTGAAACCAGGTTTCTCCATGTGGTGACTCTCCATCCTTCTCTATGCAGAAAAGGAACTACTTCCTGGATTACAACAATGCTCTGGAGTGGGTCATCTACACAACCAGTATCATCTTCGTGCTGCCCTTGTTTCTCAACATCCCGGCCTATATGCAGTGGGAATGTGGAGCAATAGCGATATTCTTCTACTGGATGAACTTCCTGTTATATCTTCAGAGGTAAGACCAGTTTGGATGATTTTTATATTCTCTAAACTTTTAATGTCAAAGAAAGACTATTAGAAGTGATGTGAATTTGTAACTTGCATCTTGCTGTTTCTAGTTGTTTTAAATTTAAGGATTTGAACATCTAAATCTTGAAGGGCTGAGTGTGCAGACTGAGGCTTTAGCTCCTCAATTTGGGACCATTAATTATTTTCGGTGCACGTCAGTGTGAAGAGGGAGCAGTTCTGTATATGCAACCACGTTGTGTGTAGTGAACAACATTCCAGAAGTCTCCCCACTAGATGCCAGCTGCAGATCGCCATTCTCAGTGTAGCATTCAAAGGTACCCACCCAGACATGGCCACAGCCCCTGAGTGCCAAGTCTACCTTCATTAGCAAGCCTGTAACAAACACGGACAGAAACCAAAATGAGAGTGTTAGTTACTCTTGTTTCATCTGACACTTGGTAAAAATTTACTTTGGGTTAAAACACTCAAATTAACTGAATAAAAGTAATAAAAAAGGGAATAAAATTTGGATGTTCACCTTCCTAGATATGGACGGAGGGGGGAGGACCTAGGACTTACCACAGGGCAGGGAACCTGGACTGCTCTGTGGACTGGAGAGGGAGGGGGAGAGGAGTGGGGGGAGGGGTAGAAGGGTGGGAGGAGGGGGAGAAGGGTGGGAGGAGGGGGAGGGAAATGGGAGGCTGGGAGGAGGTGGAAACTTGTTTTTTTTTTTTTTTTTTTTTCTTCTTTTCTTAATAAAAAAATTATTAAAAAAAAAAGTAGTAAGTGATTCAAGAAAGAGAAAGTGGCTAAATTCTTGTTTTAACAGTTACTGGTGTTGAGTTAAGCATCATTTTTTTACATGTGTTTATGATAACAAGAAGTAAATGGCACTATCTGCATTGCATCAAAGAAGAAACATAAACACTGAGTATGGGAAATTTACCGAAGGTCAGCTAGTAAGTTGAGAAATAGTTTGGACCGAAGTATTGAGTCTCCAGGGATAAGCTTACTCCTATTTGTGTACATTTATGTAAATAGTGCAGCCATGCTGACTGAGGTGTGGGCCCTTGGAGAGAGGGGATAAAGAGCAGTGACCCAGAAGGAACACAGATTCAAATCAGCCACTATCAGTGATCTCGCCACATTTCTGGTCCTTTTTGGGAACATAGCTAAATTTCCTTTCAGATTTTCAAAAAAATGTATGTTTAGATTATGGTATAAATTAAGTAGTGGGATTTTGTTACATGTGATTCCTTCTTCTGAGAGTTTTTGACAAAGGAAGAATGCAAGCTCATAGCCAGATGTTGCACTTGTGTGTCAATCACTTCACAGTATAGTATGCTGGGGGTGGGTTGTAGGGATGGATGAGTGTAAATGTGTATTTGTGCCCAGTCTTGGGGACTTCTGAAAACGTGATCTCCTGTAATTGATCTCTATTTGATCCACCACAGGGTTTCTGTCCCTAATGCCTTTATTAAACAACTGACATAATTTTCTTTTATTTACTTTGTGATAGTTTCTGTTTATTACTTAGAGAAAACTGCCATCACCTTGGTCAAGTGGTAAAACGATGAAAGATGGCAAATATTATATTAATAAGAAAGAAATACTCTGCCCAGGGCTGCACAGAGAAACTCTGTCTCAAAAAAGAAATGAAAGGAGAAAAAGAAAGAAGGGAGAGAGGGAAGGAGGGAGGGAGGGAGGGAAGGAGGGAGAGATGGAGAGAGCAAGGAAGGAAGGAAGGAAGGAAGGAAGGAAGGAAAAAATAAAAGAGAATCAGAAGAGGAGGAGGAGGAAGCAGTCCAATAGTCAGTTTGAAAAGATTTGGTTACTTGCAGATTTGCATTTGTTTGTACCAAAAAGCCTTGCTTTAGCGATTTCATCTGTTAAAAGTCCTATCTGACTTACTCCACAATAAATATAGAATTAATACCCTTTGACACCAGAGTAAGCAACTGCTTTCTTCCTTTTGCTTTTCTAGGTTTGAGAACTGTGGCATTTTCATTGTTATGTTGGAGGTGATTTTTAAAACTCTGTTGAGATCGACAGGAGTGTTCATCTTCCTCCTATTGGCTTTTGGCCTCAGCTTTTACGTCCTCCTGAGTTTCCAAGTGAGATATTTACATCTCTAGTTGACTTCATTACTAGTAATATTGGAAACAGATATTTACACTTAAATCCTAATGGCTTAGTAAATTAATAACTTTATTTGGATAGTTAATGTTAAGTTGGGAGTGTAGCCCTCAGCCCCTGGCATCCATCCCAGCCAACCTGACCTGGTTTGATTTGACCTAATTGGACTTATTAATATAATTTTATCAGATTTTTCTCTGGTTAAGAAATTTATATTTAAGCATTAAACTGTCTTTGTATTTACTTTTGTTGATTGTAGTTAATAATACTTCTCATGACTGTATCTTAAGAGCAGCATTGTGAATTTTAAAAAGTATTCTTAGTATAATTCTTATCACTTAGTCATCAGGAAACCCTTTTTCATGATAGGAGATTTTCATTTCCTGTTTCCTTTCCTTCTTTTTTTCAGGACGCCTTCAGCACTCCGTTGCTTTCCTTAATCCAGACTTTCAGTATGATGCTGGGTGACATCAACTATCGAGATGCCTTCCTAGAACCATTCTTAAAAAAGGAATTGGCATATCCAGTCCTGACCTTTGGGCAACTTATTGCCTTCACAATGTTTGTCCCAATTGTTCTCATGAATTTACTAGTAAGTGGCACCTAATTGTTCACTCTGTTAGTTACTTGGGACATTTAATAGTACTGACTTAGTTAGGGCTTCTGTTGCAGTGAAGAGACACGCTGACCAAGGCAACTCTTATACAAAAAAACAGTTAATTGAGGGGGTTCACTTACAGCTTCAGAGGTTCAGTCCATTATGATAATGACAGGGAGCATGACACTGAGCTGGCAAACATTGTGCTGGAGTTGAGAATGCTACATCTTCCAAGCAACAGGAAGTCAACTGTCACACTGAGGGAAGCTTGAGAAAAAGAGACCTCAAGGCTCACCCCACAGTGGCACACTTCCTCCAACAAGGCCACACCTCCTAATAGTGCCACTTCCTTTAAGGGTCATTTTTTTCCCTCTAAACTACCACAAATACTAAGGATTCTTAACCTCTTTAAGAATTTTTTTTCGTGGGGGGGAGGGTGTATTAGTCAGCTTTGTGTTGTTACAAGAAACTTCAGAGGGCAGCAAACTTAGTAAGATACGGTTTAATACCTGCTGGTTCCCATGGTCCAAAGGCCCTGTGTTCAGATCATGGAAAGTTTCTCGGCCTTTGCTGCTCTGTGACTACCACAGCTTCCTCCACTTGGCCTGCATCTTCAGGGCACTTGCTCCGTCACAGCAGTCACTGGAGGAATCTCCTATCTCATTTCTCTGCCAAGTTCTCCCCACTCATTGTCACTAAAGAGACAGCTAACCAAAAGCTCATCATTTCAATTTAAAGGTGGGTCTGTTACATTTGTTTTCATGACTCCTTAGAAGCCAGACCAGACCCGTCTGTTCTGTATGCTTGGCTCACCACCATCTTGATCTCACCCAACTCCCATCTTCCCCAGGACTGTTCCATTTTTCATTCCTGCCTCCAGAACTCCTGTGTAGGCTTTTCTTTCATCCTGGAAAACCCTCCCACCACGAGCTAACTCTTTCTAATCTTTCAAAGTTCAGTCCAAGTGCCAGGGCTTTTGAGCGGACTTTCTTAGTCAATGGCTCCATCCCCATCACTTTAATCTGAACTGGATGCTGCTTCCTTATCTTATGTCACTACTCCACTTTGGCAGAGATCTTGACACGGTGTGAAAAAGACATGAGGGAGCTCGGTACGACCTTCGACCTTCATGCCCGCTATTGCTTGAGAATACATAGATAACACTGTGTGCAACACTGAATCTGCTAACACCACCATTTTAGACTTCCTGGCCCCAGAAACGTAGAGAGAAAATTCACATTGTTTATATTATATGATTTGGCCCACGGTGTCTAGTTGCTTATATACCATTTATTCGATGGTATTTAGTTGTTGAAGCTTGAGTGGAAAGTAAGACTTGATTAATTGTATTGTTTGTTGTGCTCTGATTGATCTTTTGTCTTACTACAGATAGGTTTGGCAGTTGGGGACATTGCTGAGGTCCAGAAGCATGCCGCATTGAAGAGGATTGCTATGCAGGTATTATAATTATTAAACACGTATTGAAATCAACACTCTCATGAGTCCTTGTGTATAAGAAGAGCTGATTTACTAAGAGGCCTGTCACTTAGTGTGGCTATTTCTCCATATGGAGAATTGCCGCCTGTGCCTGTTCGTGTGTTCTCTGGTATTCTTGTTATAATCAATAGATCAGAAAAATCACCCTGGAGTAATCTACCCAGAAAAAATAGAGAAATTGTTTGACAACTTGTATCAGGTTAATGTATGATAAATTGGAGAAACCAGATTAATTATATGCCAACCCAAAAGCAACATTGGTTTGAGGGTGTGTGTGTGTGTATGTGTGAATGTATCTGTATGTATGTATGTATGTTTATGTCTCTATATGTGTGTATGCAGGTGTGTATGTATAGGTGTTTGTATGTGTGTATCTGTATATGTATATGTATGAGCATATGTGTGTATGAATGTGTGCAGTGTGCATGTGTATGTGTGTGTATGCATGTGTGTAAGTGAGTGTGTCGGTGTAGGTGTGGTGTATGTGTGTGTACATGTGTACAGGTGTGCGGTGTGCATGCATGGCTGTATGTAGGTGTGTTTGTGTGTGTATGTATGTACGTTTGTGTGTAGGTGTGTGTATGTGTGCATGTGAAGGGGTGTATGTGTAGGCGTGAGTATTCCTCCAGGCTGATCTTGAACTCTCTTTGTCACTGACTTTGGCCTTGAGCTTTTGATCCTGTTGGCCTAGCCTCTTGAGTACTGGGCTGATAGGCCTGAGTGCCACCATAATCCAATATGAAGAATTCTTTCCTACTGCAGTCCAAATGTTCAGCTCAGGGATGCTCCTGTTAGTTTGCCATGTGACCACACAGTCCATACACATATTTTATGTTGAAGTTCTATCTAGATTTATGAAGGTTTGTTCACTTGAGTTCTCTGTATTATATTGTTAGGCATTTTAATATAAAGTCCTTCAGAGTGAAAAGACTTGTGGATGGGTCTTTGGCTACTGAATCTTGATGTAGTTTTTTCTTTTAAGGTTCTTAGTGTCATTGTCTTTAAATTTCAACTGCGAATGGCACCATGGATGCTTCCGGAATATTTAATTATCAGTTGAATATATGCAACTAGAAACTTAAAAAGTATATTATAATTAGCTTCAAAACACATATAATTAAGTACTCATTATCAAGGTGTGATTCCACCCACCATTGACTTATTTCTGTCTTGGCTCCACGCTGTGTTGCAAACTGGTCTTACAGGTGGTAAAAACCAAGTGAAATATCTTCCTATCAAACATGCTGCTGGCATCAGGGCTCCACCCTTTCCTGTCCTTCAGAATGGAACCTGACTCCAGTGTTTGAACAGTCTCATAGGCAAAGAGGCCTGGGGAGAGACAGTGTTTCTCTTTAAAGAAGCTTCTTTCCTGCCAGTGTGTCTGCTCTGCAGGGTGACTGAAAGCTGAAAGGTTGTGGGCAGTGGATCATGAGGGCCTGGAGATGTTGCTCTATGGTAAAGGCATTGGCTAGCATTTAAAGACAGCGGGCTTGATCCTTAGCAAATTATCATAAAAATTAAAACAAATATTTAACCAGAATTGTAAGCAAAGCACAATACAGATGTTTTGAAACACAAACGACTTTACAGTCTGTAAAGGGTTGTGTACATCACAATAATAAACGGTAAGCCACATAGTCAGTGTGTCCTCCTTGGGGCACACTTCATTTGAGGCACTCTGCTCAGGACTATCTTTACAGTTGACTATTTCTAAAGGTCATTGAAATCCCAGGTACTGAAAAGCAGTGTGAACTTAGATTAGAACATGAGTACCGCTATGCGGTTGTCACAGCCACTGTTTACAAAGAGACACCAAGGGCTGGAATACAGGAAATGTGAAAGACGGAGGGCTCTGTGGAAGACTATGTGAACTCTTTGCTGAGCATGTGTAAAGGCCTGGGTTGGATCCCCAGTACTGCTAAAAAAAAAATAATAAATAACAGGGGAATTAAACAAAATACAAGCTCAAAACAAAAACATTAAAGAGATAAAATACTGTGCCTCCAAAAAGAAGTTATATTCAGTATATGTCATGAGTAAAACTTTCTATATCTGCTAATATAGAAAGAAAAACCCACAGAAGGAGCTTGCATTTTTGTTTTCCTTTTGTTTTGTGCATTTAGCTACATTTGTCTTCTCACTTTGTATCCCACCAGCTAAGCCACCCTTCCTCTCCTGTCCTGGGCATTCCATACCATTCGCACTTCCCACAAGTACTGAACTTTTGGCACTGTAACACCCTAAGAGTGCAGGCTCTGCCATCCTCCTTGTATCTCCAATGTGGATTACAGCCCCTGAACACTAACCACCCACTTGCTTACATTAAGTTCTTCAACCATTTCTTCCACGTTGCTTGAAGAGTGCTTTCTGGCCTCATGGAGGATAAGACGAGGGAGGGACAACTAGGTGACTGAGCTATGGAAGGTGGCGGGTGAAGGAAGCCAGCTCAGTCACTGTGTATGAATATGGACACAGGAATTCATTTTTATTATGCCCTTGAGGTGATATTTTTAGATACTAATTAACAGGTCTGTCAATAAACCCAATGTGCGTTTTAGGTGGAACTTCATACCAACTTGGAGAAAAAGCTGCCACTGTGGTTCCTACGCAAAGTAGATCAGCAGTACACCGTCGTGTATCCAAACAGACCTCGGCATGGCAGGATGTTAGTAAGTACTCCTAAAGGAAAGCATACCAAGAGATGTTGCATGACATCCATTCACTGTGTTGGCCTCAGCTGTACTCCCAGGGAGGCTGTGGATCTACTCTGCCTGTGGGAAAGACGTGGTTCTGTTTTTGCAAGTGCACAGAACATATCAAAAAACAGGATGTCGGTAGGGAGACAAATAATCATACACAGCATCGCATCCCTGTGAGCTCAGGCAGACACATGGGCCAGCTGTACCCTTTCAGTAGCTGTCTAGCAGGGTAGGCGTTCCTCATCTGCTTTTCCTAATCACTTGCCACACACGTTTATGTGTATATTTATGTCCAGATGTGTGTGTCTAAGTGCAAATACAGAATGCAAAATAGAGAATATGCATGAGAGTGTCTACTTTAAAAGACATGAAAAATAATAAAAAGCCAGGTCAGTGTGGTATAAGAGAGAAGAGCCATACTAAAACTCACAAGTTCCAGAACCTAACTTCCATGCCCAGACTGCTCATGTCTTACAACTTCTCTTCCTGAGTTCTTTAGGTGGATTTTACCTTGTGTAATCACAAAATGATAATCTCTGCACAGCAGTTTAGGCTTTATTTTGTCGCCACGCTATCCCCTAACCTTGTACATGGTTTCAATCATCATCTATACCCAGAATCTCCAGTAACTTGTCTCTCTAGCTGAGAGCTTACTTTTAAGGTCCAGATCCCCATGTCCAACTGACTACTTTTTGTTTCCACTGTCTGTCTTAAAGCCTCTTTAAATTTAGCACACTCAAAGCCAATCTTCACATTCACTGTGTTTCACCCTCTCCTCTCCACAGTGAAAAGGTTCCAGTGTTTTCCTAAGGTTCATTTCTGCAATTCATGTCCATGCAATTCGTCAGCCTGGGTAGGACAGCCATCCTGGTTATACAGCAGCCCCTTACCGCTTCTTCTCCTTCTGGCCCACTCTATTTCTATAGAGTTCACTTGAGTTCCTCTGTGTCCTGGACCCCTAGAATTAGCTCACTCTTGACCACTTCACATTCACTCTTGACCTTCTCTAGTCAACTGTGATATAAAAGGTTGAGCTGGGGTACAGCTCTAGGCTAAAGAGCTTCCTCATCGTGTGCAAGGCCCTGTGTGTTCTGTTCCTGGTACCAGGAAAAAGAGGGCACTAAGTTAAAAATTACTAAAGTTAAAACGTCTATATGTGAAATATTGTTCAGTAGTTGAGTTGTGATGACTAATGAGGCAGAGAATTTTCAAAGAATAAACATCTTGTATATGGAACGGTATTGCACACAGTGCAGATTGGGCACTTTGCACGAGTATTTGTAAAATGGTACAATGAAGCCCTTTCTCAGAAGCCCCTATTCCCTCTTCCTCTTATGCCTTCTATAGCATTTGCATTTTAACATCTTTCTCTTATAGATAACTTCGCTGTAGTTTTTGGCCTGATGGTTTCCCAGGTAGACCAGGAGCTTTGTGAGGCCATAGTGGTAGCCTAGGAAAATTCATTCTGCGGAGCCTGATTTGGGGACTGAACTTTTGTGCATGCTCATGAAATAGTTCTAAATTTAATTCACCTTTAGTAACTTCCATGTTTTACCCACAGAGATTTTTTCATTACTTTCTTTGTACACAAGAAACACGGCAAGAAGCACCAAACACTGACATGTGTTTGGAAATAGAAATATTGAAGCAGAAATACAGGTTTGTGTTTCTCCATCTACTGTCATATGAGAAATAAGATTCAGTTACATTATGATACTGGTATTTATTTTGTATATGAAATTAGGCTTTATTGAGGGATATTGCTCATGCAGTGAAAATCAGGAGACATTTTGTAGGACTGAAATTACTTGTAACAATTCGCCAGCCAGTTTGTCCTCCAAGGAATAAATAGGTGAGGATTAAATGCTAATTTCCTTACTACTGGGTAAACTATCATAACCTGTATTCTTCATAGTCATCTTAGTTCATATAACAGAAGCATAAGAAGACTGGGAGGATTCCTTGAATAGCTACCTATTGGACAGGAGTTATGCAAGAGGGCTCTACAGTTTATCTGAGTTTAGATTCCCAATCAACTATTTAGTAGCTATATCCATAGGAAGGCAGCTAAACCTTTTTATGCAGGTTTCATATTGGTAACTGAAAACAATAGCTAGAAACAACAGCTAGTCACAAAGAAGACTGGAACTTAGGGAAACTCACTCCAGCTTCAGGAATGTGCTGGCCACTGTGAGGCTACAAGCCAAGCACAGGTACTTGGTATAGAACATTTCTAGTCCCTAGTCCTTACTGCAGTCAGGGACTAAACACGGGGATGGGAGGTTGAAAATAAGCTCATGACACATGTGTGCTCTCACAGGCTGAAGGACCTCACTTCTCTCTTGGAAAAGCAGCATGAACTCATCAAACTCATCATCCAGAAGATGGAAATCATCTCAGAGACAGAGGACGAAGATAACCATTGCTCTTTCCAGGACAAGTTCAAAAAGGAGCGGCTAGAACAGATGCAGAGCAAATGGAATTTTGTGTTGAATGCAGTTAAGAACAAACCACACTAAATATTATTAGATGTTAAATATTATAAATATATTAGTCCTAAGTGTTATTCACCCAGGCCTTTAGTGGGATGCCTAATGGGAGTGGGGGCTGCTTGACTTACTTCAGTGAATTTCAGTTTGGAAAAGCAAAGAAATAGGAGTTTGGCAGATGCCACTGCATGGGAAACTGTAGTTCCTACAAATTGTCTCTATATGCTCATATTTTCTGTCAACCACTCTGTATTGGGAATATCCTTTCTGACCTGTTCAAGTTGGACTTTAGTGAAGGGTAATCTCCTCTGACTGAGTTTGACTCATTTGAAAGCAAAGTCGTTAGAATACACATTATGAAGGACAGGAATAAATGAAACTATTAAGCCAGGACACAAATGTCAATATTAGATTCCTATTCAATATTTATTGATATAATGTAATCGTGTGACTATAGTTTATATATATATATATATATATATATATATATATATATATATATATGGTGATATAACATGAGATGTCTATAGTTCCAAGTATTAGATTCAAACTTCTCCCATGTAAGGCCTTCTTGTGTTAGAACCTGGGATGGGACACCGTAATCTCTGTCCCAATAGTCCCGCTCTTCATCTTCTTCTCATTAGCATCACTTTAAGACACTTAACTGAAGTCCTAATCAGTAAATGATGATACACGTGAATGTGACAGTAGCTGTGTGTTCCCCCTCTGCTTAGTCTGTCAATTGTGTTGACTGTCAATTGTGTTGGCTGTCAATTGTGTTGGTTGTCAGTTGTGTTGGCTGTCAATTGTGTTGACTGTCAATTGTGTTGGTTGTCAGTTGTGTTGGCTATCAATTGTGTTGACTGTCAATTGTGTTGGTTGTCAGTTGTGTTGGCTGTCAATTGTGTTGGCTGTCAATTGTGTTGACTGTCAATTGTGTTGACTGTCAATTGTGTTGGCTGTCAATTGTGTTGGCTGTCAGTTGTGTTGGTTGTCAGTTGTGTTGGTTGTCAGTTGTGTTGGTTGTCAGTTGTGTTGGTTGTCAGTTGTGTTTGCTGTCAATTGTGTTGACTGTCAATTGTGTTGGCTGTCAATTGTGTTGGTTGTCAGTTGTGTTGGCTGTCAATTGTGTTGACTGTCAATTGTGTTGGCTGTCAATTGTGTTGGCTGTCAATTGTGTTGGCTGTCAGTTGTGTTGGTTGTCAGTTGTGTTGGTTGTCAGTTGTGTTGGTTGTCAGTTGTGTTGGTTGTCAGTTGTGTTGGCTGTCAATTGTGTTGACTGTCAATTGTGTTGGTTGTCAGTTGTGTTGGCTATCAATTGTGTTGACTGTCAATTGTGTTGGCTGTCAATTGTGTTGACTGTCAATTGTGTTGGCTGTCAATTGTGTTGGCTGTCAATTGTGTTGGTTGTCAGTTGTGTTGGTTGTCAGTTGTGTTGGTTGTCAGTTGTGTTGGTTGTCAGTTGTGTTGACTGTCAATTGTGTTGACTGTCAATTGTGTTGGCTGTCAATTGTGTTGGTTGTCAATTGTGTTGGTTGTCAATTGTGTTGACTGTCAATTGTGTTGACTGTCAATTGTGTTGGTTTAAACTAGAACTGTTGCCCATGCTCATGCCTTTGAACCCTTGGACCCTGGTTGATGATTCTGTTTAGGGAAGTTATTCAACTTTGCTTGCTCTCTACATTCTGGGTGTGGGTGGAAATGTGACCAGTCAGATTCCTGCTCCTGCTACCATGACCTCTTCCCCATTATCGACTCTTGCTCTGGAGCTATAAGCAAAAATAAACTGTTTTCCCTCAGATCGCGTTTGGTCGTGGTGATGGTATTGTATCGTGGCAACAGAAAGTGACTTACATACCAATGGTCTTAATAAAGGATAAGGACTATACAATCATCCCTCAGGGACAACAGTATGAATTGTTTTTGCATTTAGTTTTATGAAAATTGCAAATGTCCTTTGTCAGATCCACACCTTTATTCTTTCCATGTGTAATACAAAGGTGTGAATTCACATATCCTAGCATCAAACTTCATATGGTGCTTCTCATGTTTATTCTCTCACCAACTCCAGAACACATTTACTCTATGAGCATGACTTTGGCTATGCATGTTTTTATGTTATATGTGGAAAGTGTTGTTTCGAAAGTTCCCCCATTTTATTTATTTTTTTAAAAGGAAAATAAACTATCTTTCTTCATTATACATACCAATCCAAGTTCTCACTCCCTCCCCTCCTCCCATTCCCTCTATATACCCTCTCACCCCACCCCTACCCAATCCTCAGAGAGGGTAAGGCACATTGCTTTGGGGAAGGTCTAAGGCCCTCCATACTATATCTAGGATGAGCAATTATCCATCCAAAGAGATAGTTGCCCAAAAGCCAGTACATACAGTAGAGGTAAATCCTGGTGCCACTGCCTGTGGCCCCTCAGTTTGCCCTAGCCATGTAACTGTCAACCACATTCAGAGGGACTAGTATGGTTCTATGTTGGTTCCTTCTCAATCTGGCTGGAGTTCGTTAGCTCAGGTAGACTGTTTCCATGGGTTTCGGCGTCATAGTCTTGACCTCTTTACTCATATTCTCATTCCTCCCACTCTTTAACTGGACTTTGGGAGCTCAGTCCTGTTCTGCAATACAGTTCTCTGCCTTTGTTTCCAAATAGTTGCTGGATGAAGGTTCTATGGTGATTATTTAAGATATTCATCAGTCTGACTACAGGGCAAGGCAAGATCAGGCCCCTCTCCTCTATTGCTTAGGGTCTTAGCTGGGATCATCCTTGTGGATTCCTGGAAATTTCTTTAGAACCAGGTTTCTTACTAACCCTATAATGGCTTCCTCAATCAAGATAACTCTTTCCTTGTTCTCATCTCTGTCCTTCGTCCTTCTCCACTATCCCATGTTGAATTTAGAACAGATCTTGACTGCTCTAATGTTGATTTTCCGTCAAAGATTCCAACATTCTCTCAGGCCCCTACTTCTGAAATTGACATGCATCAACGTCTGTTGAGGCATTCTTCCTAAGGAAAAGCTCCAAGGTTTTATAGCCACACTAAAGTAATATCTCCCTAGTAAAATGCTTTCATGCTATCTCTGAAGTCCCGAGTCCTTCCCCAGTATTACTAACTAAAGAGCAGAGATCATAGAGACCTCTCTCCTCCACAGCAATAGCATAGCCTTCTTTATCTACTTTAACCACTTCTGGTAGGGACTCACTCTTCAAAATGTTTGTGATTTCCCACCTCCCTCCTCCTACTGTCTTCTGTGTAGACCACTCCCCCTCCAACTCTTTCAAAGTTTACTTTCTGTGGTGCCTTCACATAGAAATCCCTCTGAATTATGCTCCTGGTCTCTCCTACTTCTGCCCATGATGGTGACCATTACCTGCCTCCTCCCCTTAACCAGGCACTACCACTACATAGATTTGTTCATGGCTCACTTCAGTCTTAGGTGACACAAACTAGGACACATTTCTTTCTTCACTTTTTTCATACTTTGTGTGGTTTCTAGAAGAACACTTTGCACATAATTGGTGCTCAACAAATGCAAACACCAATCAACAAAAATCAGTGAAAATGACAAGTACAGAAAAAGGAGGTAAGGAAACTGCCCCAAAAGTGGCTTGTGCCCTTGTGCTATGTCCCTGTCCTGCTCAACAAAAGACATCTTCCTGAGGAGTGCAAGTGTCATGAGAGCCACGTGACCATGCTTTTCCTTCTCACTACTTCGATCTGTGTGATACACACACACACACACACACACACACACACACACTTAACTATGGTCAGAATGGACAATAGAAAGAGTTTGTACTTCAGACTAGAACAGTGTGTCAGTGTGTATGCCTGCGGACTTTAGTTCCTATTAGTTCAGTAACTGACTTTTCTCATCTCTACATTGATGACAATAACTTACCCCTTGTGTAATTGGCAAGATTAGACAGTGTGTACCCAGGATACCTAGCCAAAAAATGCTAATTTAAGAAAACTGGTGCAGTAGATAAAAGTAGACATAAAACTTTGGAAGTTTTGCATCCTGCCAATTAAATCTTTAATTTTCCTTGAAGTTAATTATCATATTGCTATAAACTGAAGTTCCCAGATACTCCTAGAGCCCATTATTCAGGATATAATATAAATCACACATATCGTTAAAATATTTCATTAAAATAAAACTTCTCAACATTTTAGACTTATTTTTGCCACAGATGCATATGAACAGACATTGCTGAGCACTGACCACAGAGCAGCATCATTGAGCGTTTTAAACTATCTTAGACATTTTACAGGATCAGGTTAAATAATAACAAGGAAAAGGTTTGTGAGGGTTCCTGTCGATCAGACCCTGTTAGAAACCCACATCTCAACTCTTGAGATTCTCAAAACAATATGTAGATGTTGATGACAGCTCCTGTTTTATGAAAATACTCGTAATCCTTCCCGGTTGAATGCCAAACCTGCAGTCACATAACAGACAGGGACATGACTACACCTTTCCTGATTTTGTGTTCAGTCAGGCACATACATACTCTCTTTAAAAACAAACAAGAGAAGGGGACATTGTTGCACCAATGGCTTCCTGCTTAGGTTATTGAGAGGACTCAAGCAGGGAAGGAAACATTGTAATTGCTGGTATTAGAAGGTTGGGGGATGACACAGGACATGCAGGCAATGAAATCAAGAGTGCAGGCTTGCCTTCTCGGAGACTGCCTAGTGCCTTCTATTCTGTAGCTGGCTGTTAGGTTAAATAATATCACATGTCTCACAGAGATACCCTAAAAATTAAATGAGTGAATAGCAGTACAATATTTGAAACAGTGACTTGCAACATAGCACTCAATAAATACTATGGAAAATACATTAGTTACGAAGATCTGAAAATTATGCATTTATTTAAAGATTATTTTTCTTCTAGACAAAGGAAAATAAAAACTATGCAAATCTATCTCAAAACTTTAGTGATGTATCATATCTTACAACGTTTTCCATCTTGGTTCCTGATTTCATAAGCATAATTTGATTGATATACTCAATGTGCCATCACTATCTCATCAGGCCGCAAATGACACGTTGTAAGTTGTCAAAACTGAAACAGGCAAGTTGCTTCTCTTACTGTGACTCAAATAGACTCTTAGTCACCTGATTTCAAGGGAAGATGATTCATAAGAAGGTTAAAAATTGGGCATGGGGGTAAAAGAAGAAAATGAAGAGAAAACATGGAATTTGAGAACTAGGTATAAATATTAGTGCTTATATGCAATCCCCCAGCTTCTCTGTCAAATGTAATTAAGCCACAGACTTATTTGAAATGATACTTTTAGGCACAGTATTATTTTAAAATGCAGTTTAGACATTGTTGCATCCTTTCAAAAAAATGATGAGAAAACACTTTTTTTTAAAATGATCCAAATACTAAGAAATATTTATAAAACCACTTAGTCAGAATATGCGGT